TAAAAAGTATATTTTCATACGAAACCGAAAAAAATTTTTAGTTCAAGATTTTTTAAAAGTGGGTACACGAAAAAAAGACTTTTTTTCTATTGATAACTGTTAGAAGATCTTGAAAAAGTTTATTTCAAATGAAATTCAAGAAGAAAAGTTCAAGCTTGAAAGATGTGAAAAGTGGTCGTTATTTACAAATACAACTAGAAAAAATAGATTAATTCAGTTTTTTAAAATTCTAATGGCTTTTCAACAGGGACAGTCTAGAAAAGCCTTCAAAATCTCGTTCAGAATCAGTATAAAAGCCTTTTTAAAAATTGTTTAGATAGGTTCGTTTTTGAAAGCGCAAAACTGGTCGTTATTTACAAATCAGTTTAAAAAAGCAATTTTTCAGAAGCTAGAAAAAGTTTGGAATATCCAAAGAACGTGAACGACACGTGACCCCAAGGCCTTTAGATCAAAAACTAGAGAAATCAAATCGTTGTCAAGAAAATGGACCGTGGAACCAAGTCTGAGAGAAATTGTTCTTTTAAATATTAGAGGTAAATGTAACCTGAGATAAAAAAAAACTTCGAAAATCCTTGTTAATATGTGATTTTTTGATTGATAAGGGATCTGCCTGATTATCACATATTTTTTTCTCTAAAATAGATAGACAAAACTTTCAAAACTCGGAATCAATACCTTTGATTGCCTCAGAAACTTCCGAAAAAGATATAAAATCAATAAATGAACAAATTTACGATGGGAGCAGACAAAAGTTAACATTTATAGGTTCAGAGTCCATTTTTAAGCTTTTGGTCTCAAAGAAAAAAACTTTGAACCTCAGGGGTTGTTTTCTCGATAATTTTTTTGCGTTTAAAAATGGATGAACTGGTTTTAGACTTATAAGGGAGCTCAAGAAATCAAAAAAGATATGAGAAAAAGTGGCTTTTTCAAATTTCAAGAAATTCAAACTCTGCATAAACTTCAAAAAGGTCCATAGGTATCAAAAAAATTAATAAAATTGAAAAATTCAACTCAAAACTGAATGAATAAAGCCTTCCTATGAAGGAAAAAATCTCGAAAGCCTTTTAAAACTCAAAAATTCCTAAGGTTTTAAATTCGAGTTTTCCCGATGAAAAATTTTGAAATGACTATTTTTTGCTTTTTCGGGAGCTTAGAATGATTTTCTTTGTGGGAAATTTTAGAGAAAAAAATAATCTTGAAGGTTTTTTTGTGGTAACCGTAAGTTTATATCACAAGAAAAAGCAGGTAAAATCTTAAATAAATCGTTCAAAAAGCTCAAGAAAATATAAAGACCTCCAAAGAAGGCTTCAAATCCAAGCAACCGATCGTTCTTTACAATAAAAAAGCCCCAGACGTTCATTCTCCCATTTTACACAGGTCTGAACAAGTTTTCCAGGGCCGATATTTTCCAGAAAAGTGTTCGCCTTCGTAAAAAAAAAATACAACTCTTTTTTTCCTGTCATTTTTTTACTTAATATTTGTCATTTTTTGAATTTAATCAACGAAGAAATTAAAATAAAAACAGCGGGAACACTCTGGGAAAACGAGTTCAAATGGAGCGCGATAAGGAGACGAAAAAATGGCCGTCGACCCGCTTGAGAAGGGGGATCGATAAGCATCGGGAGTGATAAATCGGCGAAGAATAACAGAGAGACGTTGCAGAACAAACGAGTCTCCTGTTTTATGGTAACTTTAGGTATCGAGAATGTTTTTTATTGGTTTTCCTTTGGTTGGTTGATCAGATAACTTAGAGAGGGGGCTAATTTTCGCGGCAGAAAATTTAGAAGGGTTCCGAAATTTGGGCATAAAAAATGGTGAAAACTTTGGAGAGGGGGGACTGAATTTAGGGTTAAAAAGGAGGGGGTGATAAATTCAGGTTTAAAAAAAGGAGGGGGACTGAATTTAGGGTTCGGAAAACGTCCCAGTTTTTTTATTGATGAAAAAAATGGCAAAAAAAGGTCCAATCCTTAAAAATCGCAATATTGAAGCCTAGGAACGCCGGAGTGGTCCCTAAAGAGGAGGACCTCAGGGGACCTTGAAAGCTCCCCTCTAAGGACCACTTACCTTCCCTAAAGGGGTCACTAAAGCTCTGCCGAGGAGAGCATTCTAGTCTTTTTTTGTTAGGAACCTTAATGGCTGTTTGAATGAAAAAATAAGCTTTTTTTTAAATCTTCAAATCTGAATTTCAAATTCCTATAGGGACCACTTAAATTTAACCCCTACAGTAAGCATTTCTTCCCTATAGGGGTTGCTTTTTCCAATAGCCCCTGAAGGGACCACTCTGACGTTCCTAAGTATTTCACAGAAAAATATACAAATTTTAGTTAGGCCGCATTTTTTTCAACTTTCTGAAAGCGGAAAAAACGGTCCCTTTGAATTTCCCAAACGATAAATTGATGATTTCTCAAAAAAAAAAAAAAGAAATTCTTACTCTTATGACAGACAAAAAGAGTGTATTGCAAAGGACAGAGTCCAAAATTGCAAGGGAAAAAAAAGAACTGATAATTAGGGTCCGCAAGCCATTTCTTCAAAACGATCCAAAAAATATGTTTTTCACACTGTTCGATAGAGGAGACTGTCCATTTTCATAATCCGTTTAGTTTTTGAAAAAAGGTCCACTAAGAAAAAAGTTATGGCCAGAAAACGAGCGCGCGCGGCGTACAACTGGAGGCAAAATCTCACGGTTTACCCGCTGCCGCACGCTTTCTTTTTAAATGTTTTTGCGCATTTCTGGACCGCTTTTAAATCGGTTTTCTGTTCTGAGAGGTTGTCCGGACTGAGCCTCATGTTTTGGTATGAATCTTTTGTACAATCCTCATAAGAATTTTTTTGATAAAATATCAAAAAAACTACTTAGAAAAAAAGGTCAGAAGGAATTTTTCAGCTTATTTTTTTCTTTTTTTCTACTCAGAAAAAAATTATTATCATTCGATTTAGAAAAAAAGAAAAAAATGAAAAAAATAATGTTAATTCGAAATAAAACAGGAAAAAGTGCAATTTGACTCCGAAAAAAACGGCTCCTGCAACATTTAAAATGGCGCATTGGTGTGTTTGACGCAAACACAGCTACGAATGCTTGCACGAATTCTTCCAAAATTTCAAAAAGTTGCCATTTTTTTCGAGGTTTTTCAAAGCCGTTATTTTTTTCGCGTCGTTAGATTTTTTTCATAATTTTTTTCATTGATAGAGTTTTTGAACGCTTAATAACATAATCAAAAAAATATAGACGCGATCCTATTCTCTCATGCGTCAACGAGGCAGGCGAAAAAAAAGGAGGTTTTGGTAAAATTCAAATATAATTTAATTCGCTGTCCCAATAATTAATTTCATTCTAAATTTTTTTATTTTTTTGAACACATTGTGAGTTTTTTTAAATCAAATAAAAAGTATACCTTGTCGCTGAAATTTTTTTCGCATTTCAGCTTCAAAGTTTGGTGTCACTTTACAAGCTTCGATTTTTCGCGTCGTTAGATTTTTTTAAAAATTTTTTTATTCAAAAAAATAAAGAAAGTGTTAATGTATAACATACTCAAAATTCGGAAGCGTTCCTCACTTGGTTTTCAGAAACGCGACGATTTTTGTGAAACTTGTCAGTTTTTTTCGTGTTAAATCTTACTTTTTTTCGCTTATTTTTTTGAAAAAAATACATAGTTTTAAAAAAATATTCAGTCTTGTAGAGCGTTGTCGATTACATAGATTAACAGAAACAGTTCCTTTTTAAAGTGGGCCTTTAGCTAGTATAAACGCCTCAAAACCGTTTCTGCAACAAAAAAATCGTCATTTTGGTGGCATGAAGGGGCGGGGCTTTGCGCCCCCTACTGATAATAAGAGAGACGGTTGTTTGGCGAACAGTTGAACTTGACGTCTTTTGAGAAAAATTGACGTCATTTGGAAGAAAAAGGGATCTTTTCGTTGAGAAACAGGTCAGCTAGAATAAGCTAGGGTTCGTGAAACAAATTCTGAAAAAAAAAACTTCTATAGTCTTTTTTTCGCGACTTGAAAGGGCGGGACTTCTCTTCGAACTGACAGACCATAGTGAAGTTATTTAAAATTGGAAAACTCCGGTAAAATTTTTTTATTATTTTTTTTTGAACTGAAAAAAATCCAGAAAGTTTTTCCACAGAAAAAAATAAAAAAATTCCAAAAAAATCCTTGCAATGATTATATTTGAAACTGAATTTTTTTTCTCACACCTGTGACCACATTGAAAAAATTTCGAGAATTAAAAAGAAAATATTTGCAATTTTCTCAAACATGTAAATACTTCCCAGCTTCACCCTCAATTGCTTTATCACAAAAAAAAATTATTTTTGTGGCAAAACTGAATTTAAAGGCATATGGGCAGTAAACAACGGTATTTCAGTTCAAAGCATTATTTTGTAGAGTTTTTCATTGCGAATCGAACGGTAAACTTGGAAATGTACCAAACTTCCTAGTTTCGGAGAAAAAATAATTCAAAGTCGGAGAAAAGGAAGCTTGAGTTCCCGCGAAAAGGGCGCTTTGCAGTAAAGTTGCTCTATGGACAACAGGCTTCGCCATTTTCCGGATTTTCGCTTTTTTCATCGTTTCTTTCAATTCTCAATATTTTCTGTTGTCACCAAAGTTCTTTTTTTATCTTTAAAAGTTTCTATTTATAAGAAATTTGCAAACTTTGTTCGCAAAAATGCTTTTCTGGTGAGAAAATGATGATTCTACACAGGTTTCGATTGGGATAGCGAATATTTGTGTTTTCTATATTATTGGTGTGTTTTTTGTTTGACTAAATGGTTTTTTTCAGAAAAGAAATTTGATTTTGTTCTTTTTTGCTTTTTAAAACTTTCATTTTGAATCAAAATCCAGAGATTTCACACTTAATCACACATTCCAAGTTGAACCTATCTGGCTAAAATGGAAATACCATCTTTTTCTAATTTTTCAAGGAGATGTTTATTAATATTTTTCAGAAAACCTTGTCCCGTTCACGGAAAAATCACATGATACTTTGACATTTTCTCCTTTGATCAGTCATCTTCACCGGACTGAAAACAAACAACGAAGTTTGGTTATCTTATCAAGAAAATGCCTTTTCCGTAGACTTTTGCTCTTTTATCATTGATTTTTCTTGTAATTGTTAACTTTTTATGTAAAATATATACAGGACATGCGACAAATAACATAAAAAATGAGCAGTGGAACTCTTGGAACGAAGGAAAAAATTGAAATGATTCACAAATATTTTTTGAAGAGGAAGTGATTGCTCTAGGGGTTTTTCGAAGCACTAAAGTGATCCCTTGGATAGTAATTTTCAAATTATGAGATCAGTGAGTCATCCAAATATGATTAAAAAAATAGAAATTTGAATTTTTCAAGACAAGATATTCAAAAACGAATTTTTATAAAAAAATTACAAGTCATGGTTTTTTTACATGGAAGTAAAGATCATGGCGATGGCTTTAGAAGTTTTCAAGAATCTTAAGTGACCACTTAAGCAGCTTGAACTAACAAATTTCAAGTGTAATCGGGAGAAAAACCCAGAAAAACACTTAAGTGATCACTTACAATTCTTTAGGCAAGATATCTTTTCAAAAATTGCTCAGATTTCCGTCGGAAGCGGCCGTTTCTTCTCCTGACTGTGGAAACCATGGTAGTTGTCGTAAACCGGCGGAGGTCCGGCCGGCGGCGGCGTGTACCTTGGCGGAAGCTCCATCTCCAGGTGAACTTCCTGAGGGTCGATCCGGAAGCAGTGCTGAGGTTCTTCCGGCTCGGAGTCGAGCACTTCTACAGGCTCTTTGTAGGGTAGACTTGAGGAGGAAGGCTGGTCCAGCTCATTCAAAATTTTTTGGCTGGGCTGGTCTAGCTCCTCGGTCCAGGCTTCCCGAGGCTTTGGGCGTTCTTCAGAAGGGGCTACTTCGTGATACTTGTGATAGTTTTCGTGAGAAGAAGAAGTAGAAGGAACTTCTTCAAGGTCATTCTGATGCTGTGGGAAGGGATACCGGATCAGATATGGTTCTTGTGGATTTTTATGGTCCTCCGGCTCTTCCTCATGCTTCGGTAGGGGTTTCCAGAAGAGGTGTGGTTCTGAAGCTGGACCTGGTCCGTTTCCAGGAATATTTGGATGCTCCAGCTCTTCCTCATGCTTCGGCAAGGGTTTCCAGATTAGGTGCGGTTCTGAAGCTGGACCTGGTCCTTCTCTAGGAGTCTTCTTACTCTCCAGCTCTTCTTCATGCTTCGACAAGGGGAGCTGGACAAGGTATGGGTCCGAAGCCGTCATGACCTTCTTCAGGTCCTCCTGCTGAATCGCCTCCGGAACCACCACCGAAGTTCGTCTCTTCTGTTGCAGGATCGAAAATCGTCTCTCAGCCGCTGAAGGTTCCCGAGAATCTGGAAGAGGCGGGGAAGGTTGAGGATTCTGATGAAGTGGGATGATGGAGGCCCTTCTGAAGATCTGGTCATCCTGGTGCTCATCCTGGTGCTGCTCCTCGTGATGCTCATTGATCTTCAGTCTGAGTCGACTCTGGGCAGAGCTTGGCTTGTACTTGTTCGTGGTGAAGACGTAGGATCCAACTGGAGCTGTGCGACCTTTGTGCCAGCACGAGTACATGATCATGTACCGTTCTCTGGAAAACATTACATCTTCTTTAGAAAATTTTTTCTAAACTCTGAAGATGTGAAAAATGATATTTTTTGCAAACTGTTGAAATTTTGACTTCTCTAGGAAGTTCCACGAAGATCAAGCTCCACACCAAAAAATCATCAAAAATCGTTTTCCATGTCTTTTTTGACGAAAAAGTCCATTTTCAGTCGCATTTGGAATGGCTTTCAGTTTTTCGACGCGCAAGTCGTTTTTGGTCGGTTGTGGTAAAATGGCATTCGATCTAATGTTCTTACTTTGAAAAATCTTCCTTACAGTTATTTTTTTTCAATTCTACACAACAGAATAAATTCTGGTACTTTTTTTGCATATTTTTTTAGCACCTTTGAAACAGTAAATTCATTATTCGGGAATTTTTTTACTCTACAAGCCAAAAAAATTTTTTTATAAAAAAATATTCGGATCTCTTGTCGCATTTGCCACTCCTTTCGATGCCTCGATGCGTAAGTCATTTCAGGTCGGATGCGTTTAGCGCTGCTTCAAACTTCAAATCGGCCCATAAATTGATTTTTTTTTGTGTATTCACTGGCTTCTTTTGAAAAAGTTTCTTTCGGACGAGGGGAAAAAAATTATTTTTTTTGTTATATTCGCTACCGTAACCCTAAAAAGGGGCGGAGCCTCTCAAAACTGTATTCAAAACTTCTATGGTGTTTTGACAGCAATATGAGCTCAGAAAACTCTATCTTCAATTTTGGTATCAACGATTTATCGCGTTTCTGGGAGAAGCCGCCCCGCAGCCGCGACGCGTCGAGCCATTCCAAGTGCGACCAGGTTCAAAATAACGATTAGGTACCTTGCATTGTGAGCAACAACCAGCACGGCAATCGGAGCAGCAGTTGTGGAAAGAAGGACCAGAAAATGGTTGAAAAACAGGGCGACCATGGGGGAGGGACAGAAAAAGAGAAGAACTTGGGCAGCGATGTTGAAGGCCTGAAATTCATGATTTAGACTTCATTCTTCAGAATTTTAACATTTTGACCAGTCTGCGCTCTCTTTTCTCTGACCTACATGATGTTAACTGAGAGATCAAGAGAGTCCAGACACGTCAGACTGTTTCAATTCGTGGGAGATGACTGATTATTTTCTTTTATAAAGGGGTATGGTCCATAGAACATGAATTTTTAGACATTTTTGGACAGCTTCCTGTTAAATTACCAAGTGAAAAGCACAAAAATCCATATTTTTTGAAAAAAACTCAATTTTGAATTCCCGCCAAGACAGCAAAATACACTAAGTTGCGTACCGTAACCTTTTCTTCCTCGAAATAACAAACTTCGTAGCTCTTTCCTAAACGGGAGCTTTGAAACGGTGAAAATATCAAAAAAAAAACTGTCCATGGAGCAACTTTGCTGCAAACTTCGCTTTTGGCGGAAAATCGAGCTTTGGTTTTGCAAGAAGACCCAGTTGAGAACCTACTTTGCTAAACGGTGCCTGAGCTGTGGTAGGAAAGCCAAAAGTTCTACCTGGGCTTAATACGGGCACACCCGCTTAGAGCCCGCTGTTTAACCCTCCAATCTCACCTCGTAGATCAAGAAGGTCAGTCCGGCAAGGAAAAGAAGCTCCCGATCGTTCTTCTCCCCCGTCGCTTCAATGTAGACCGAACTTTCCCTTCTGACACGGGAAAGGCCGACTCTTACGGAAAGGCCGAGGAGCACGGCGGCGGCCGCTGGGATCATTATCTTCAGCTTTATCAGGATCTGGAAACCGTAATTATGACTAATTCGAGTTTTAAATTGCTGAGGCCCTTTCATAGGCTAGGAAAGGGTGGAAAAGGGTCCATAGAAATGTTCCTCATTTGCTGCCTTTTTGCACCATTTTTCTTGGCCATTATGCTCCATTTTTGCTGCCTCTCCTTTTTCCTATAATTTATTGAGCCTTTAAAATTCCTGAAAACATGAGAGGCTCGGAAAAGGGACCCTTTCTGCGGCCTTTTTGCTGCCTTTTTGCGACCTTTTTGCGACCTTTTTGCGACCTTTTTGCGTCCTTTTTGCGACCTTTTTTGCGACATTTTTGCGGCCTTTCTGAAGCCTTTCTGAAGCTTTTTTGCCACCTTTTTTGCGACCTTTTTGCGTCCTTTCTGCGACCTTTTTTGCGACCTTTTTGCGGCCTTTCTGAAGCCTTTTTTGAGCTTTTTTTGAGCGTCTGCCTTTCAGCGGCCATTATCCACCATTCCGCCTTTGCCCAAAAAGAAGAAAGCAAAAATGGCGATGTTGTCCATAGAGCAACTTTACTGCCCGCATTTTTCTCTCTCAAACTTTGAATCATTTTTTTTTTCTAAACTAGGAAGTTCTGAACATTGCCAAGTATACCGTTAGATGCGCAATGTGAAACTCTACAAAATTTTTATTCCACCCGTATTTACTGCCCCTATGTCTTAAGAGATCCTTCTTGATTTTTCAAGGATTTTTTTACGAAAAAGAAAAAAACTTCTAGATGACATCCCTGTTTCATTCAATCTACTTAATATGTCAATTTAAAAAGAATTTGTTTAATTTGAACTAGTAAAAAAAGGTTTCCAAAAACAGGCATTTCGAGCAGAATATACCTCGGTCATCGCGTAACCGACAGCCGAAGACGTGACGGCGCCGATTCTGACACAGAAATGACGAGTCATGTGGGCGTCATACTCAAAAACGGCCAGAAAGGCGGCAACGAGAATGGCTGAGGACCAGCATGCGGACACCGTTTGGACCACCCGGCCTCTGGAAAATGGAAAAATATATTTTTTAGTGATGAAACTAATACTTTACTGCAAGATTTTATTTTTTTGAAAATTTACTTTAATGTGACATATTTTAGAGCCCCCCGATCTCAACCCAGGATTTTTTGTTGAATATCGAATTTCGATCAAGACAAAAAGCCTTGAAACTTCGCATTATGTTCAAAAAAAGAAGATTTTTCCGTTCTCCATGTGTCAAAACTGCATTGAAAAAAAAGTGGACAACTTTTTTTTGGTCGAATTTAGCTTACTTTGCAGTTTCAGCAACTTTTCAAAAACTTGTATTTTGCTTTTCCCTTCGTTTTGGGTTTCACTAATACGACTCAAAATGACTCAAAGCGTTGCGGTCGCGACGCGGCTCATTTTTCAACGCGCCGGACCAGAAACTACTTGCGCGTAGCGGCTTTTTATAGGAAAAACCCGTGAAAAGTCGGGCGCAAGAAATCAATTTTTTTTCCAGCTGAATCAAACTATGCGGTTCAGAAGGCAAAAACCACAATACTTTCGAAAAAATTTTGATGATCCTAAAAAAATTCCTAACCTGGCCCAGTCGGTAGATCTCTTCGGACTGTTCCAGTAGAACAAAAAGCAGCAGAGGGCCAGGGAAAAGACGAAAAAAAGCAGAACAAAATCGACAGTATTGTCCACGAAAGCGACGATCGCAAATGTTTCCAGGATCACTGCACCTTCCTGTAATCATTCGTCAGGTTGTTCATCTACAGTTCGTTCAGGAAAGATACGGAAAAAACCCTTTTTGATCAAAACTTCCTTGTGAAAATCTTCCTGGAACTTTCTGGAGTTACCCTTATAGTCGATCCACGTCCAGCTTGAGATGCTAGGGGGCGTGGCCTGTCTCCGCTCTTGACTAACAGGACACTATCTCGTGCATTTTCGTGTCAAGACCCTTTTTTTGATGGCTCAAGCCAGCTGTGAATCGGCTATAACTGTTCTTTGTATCATCCTGGAGTACCCAGAAAAAATCGCAGCTTTTGAGATTTTCACATGGATTGAGATCCATAGGATAAACATTTTTTTAAATTTTTTAAGGGTACTGTATTATTTACCCCTTTTCTGATGATTTTTGATCATTTTTTGGTGAATGAACTATTTGAAAAAATCGGATTTTTGATTATTTTTTTTTGCCAAAAAGTCGTTTCAAGATCCTACTAAGCTATGACGGTAAATGTGGGACTTCGAATAAAGAAAAAAAAGGTTTTTTTTGACGACGCTTCATTTTTTCCGTAAAGTGTCGTGTATCGGGTGCAAGCACTGCAGCGCTCTTCCACAGAAAAAAATTTCTAGAAACGAGGAAATCTATTCTTCTCAAGACCCAGGTTAACCCGGTCACTTGCGCCTTTAACATGCTCGTATATCTCCGCCCTTTCTTTATTGGTTTTGAAGTTTATTACACTAGCAAGAACACCGTGACGTTTTTTTTAATGGAAGAAAATGCAAATCCAAAAATTAAGGGGGCGTGGTCGAAATCTCCGCCGCTCGCATGTGACGTCATTGGAAAAATGCGTAAACAACAGGACATATTAAAGGCGCATGCTCAATGGGTCCCGAGACGAATCTATTCCTCATTTTCAAAAAAAGCGATTTTTCTGTTTTTTTAAACATGCGAAACTCGAAAAAGCCACCAGAGAGTGAAAAATATAACTGTTCGCAAAAATTATGCTGAACGCGGCATGTGCGAGAGCGCCGCAGTGTATGCACACGACACATTACACTTTACGGAAAAAATAGAAGCGGGCAAAAAAAAAGTCCGAAATTGGAAAAAAATAAATGGTTGGATAGTGAAAGAGAAATTTCTTTTTTAAATATTTTTTTTTTAAATATTGACTATTTGGCCACATTATACGTTCATTTATCGATGGAAACAAAATGGGACTCTCAATAAAGAAAGGGCGAAACAGGAAAATCACCTTCGCTTGAGCCACCAGATGATGAATCGAAGCGAGAAAATGTAACGAAGTCGTGACATTCAGGAGCGATCCGACCAAGCACAAATGGAACATCAATGCCAGTTTTATACCCTGAAACTTTTAAAAAAATAGCCAAAATTATAGGATTTTTGACAAGTTTTATTTAAAAAGAGAATAGACAAGGCTCAAAAAAAGAGGGGCATTTTAACTAATTTTTTTGCCCATTATTTTTCAGGAATGTTATCAAAACACTCCTAAAAAGAACTAAATAAAAATCCTGGAAGCCAAAAACTCTTAAAAACCCCTATTTTTCGAGAAAAACCGTTCAAATCCGAAAAAAAAATCATCAAAAGCGGAAATGAACATTTTTGATACTTTATACCCCTGTTTTTTGAAAGATATGAAGATTTCCATTTCCAAACTTTCATGATCCTTTTCTGGTACTTTAAAAAACATTCCAACCCATTTTCAAAAAAATCCCGAGTAAAAAGAAAAAATAGTACCTCGTGGGATAAAGAGACTTTTTCAATTTTTTTCTCACTTCGATGAGGAAAAACCAAACAATGTACAGCTGAATTTATGCTACCGTACCCCCGAAAAGCCGCGCTCAAATCCTTTCAAGCCATTTGCCATTGTTTCCACTTCACAACGAAAAAAAAATTAAAAAATGTACAGCTGAATTAATGCTACCGTACCCACAAAAAGCAGCTTTAAAAGCGTTTCAAAACCTTTTTTAATTTTTATCAATTCGTTGAGGAAAAAGAAACCAAAAATGTACAGCTAAATTTATGCTACCGTACCCATCGAAGTCGTTTCAAAGCGGCGGCAACGGAGACATTCAAAACGAAGGAAAGAATGAAACAAGTAAAATAAATGGCGATGAGTGTGGCGAAGAGGCTGGAGCCCGTCACGTCTTCTTCTCCGGTTGTTATCATTTTCTGAAAAAAAAAGCTTTTTAAATTTAGGAATTTGTTGAAAATTGGATCAAACTGTAAAACAAATGAGAAATTTCGAAATAAATTAAATAAAACTGAAAAAATCGATCTGAAACCATTCCAAAGTCTGAAAAATCCAAAATTGCCCAAAATTTTCCATTTTTGACAGCCGGGCAGGCCCCAATCCTTTTCTCAGCCCTTGTCGGGACTCCTTCGGGTTGCCCGGGAGGACTTGGGCCCGCCCGCTCTACAAAGGACTTCATTTTCTCATTCAAAATGGCTCAAAACGGGCTCTGAAAATAAATCCGCGCAAGTCGTTTTGGGTCGGGCGCACTATATTCTCAAGAGCTTTTATGCTGATTTTTGTGTTCAATAGTTTCAAACCGATAAATAAGAAAAATTTTTTTATGTGTAATTTTTTTGATTTTTCGTTCCAAAGTGTGTACAAAAAAATCGACGTAAAAAGGTTTTTTGATTTTTGACTTTTCTTGAAACAGAAAGTCCTCCCTATAGGGGTGATATTCAAGTGGTCCCTATAGGAACTTGAAACCTCATCCCTAAGCTTGTAAAGCTTAAGTGGTCCCTACAGTAGTATTTCAGTTTTTTGTAATGCTTTGAAAGTACCACTTCCCTAGAGTGACCACTTCTGAAAGCTTTAGGGCTCCCTGTAGGGATGCAAAGTGGTCCCTAGAGGGGATGGCCCATAAATAAATTTTGAATTTCCTACTGGCCCAATAACAACTTGAAACCCGCCTTGATCCTTTCGAGAGTGATCTCAGTGGTCGTCGGGACTCCATCGGGCCATTCCTGCCCGTCAGGACCCGGCCCGCGGGTCCTCCCATGACCCCACATCTCGTGGCCGTGCGGATGTCCGTGGTTATAATCCGAGTCCCTCGAGTCTTCTTCTTCATTTGAAGACGAGTAGGACCACGAGTAGTGCTGGTGGTTTTCTGGAATTATTTTCAATTGATTTATATATTTTTTTGAATCAATAATAATTCATAAAGCTTGTTACTCTAAGAAAATGATTCCAACCCCTAGAAAAAGTTTTTTTATTCAAAAATCTGTAGAAGGATGAACCAGAAAATGCTTGATTTCGTGTAAAAATCTTCGAATTTTTGCAGATATTTATAATGTTTATTCATATGAACATCCGTAAGTCGGTTCTTGGTCGGGTGCAGATTTAAAATTCGCTATTTTGCTTTGTTTTTCTCATCTTTCGAGCTTATTTCCCGAAAATAACTTTGAAAACTTGTTTTTCCCGAATTCACTTTTTGAGAGAGTTCAATGGTAAAATTTTGAAACTTTTCAGCAGAGTGGTCCCTTTAGAGTTTTTGGAAAATGCTCCTAAAGGGGACACAATAGAGCTCCACAAAATTTAAGTGGTCCTCATAGGGGCTTTTTCTGCTAGAAATCAAAAAAAAGACAAATGCTTCCCCGTAGGGGACACTAACAAAAAATGGCAAGCTTCATTGTCTCCTATAGGGGGAGGCAAAGTGGTCCCTAGAGGGGAGCTTTCAAGGGCCCCTTATAGGGACCACTCTGGCGTTTGTTCTAATCATTAATTTTCATGAAAACTCTGAAAAAAAAACCGTTGTATTTTGTTTCGTAGGGGAAGAAGAAGTAGATGACGCGGGTCACGATTTCCGGAGCCATTTCCTGAAAATTCAGAACTTACAAAAAAAATATTTCAAGTTTAAAGAACAGTCGAAATTAATCAATTAAAAGAAAAAAAAAACAAAATTTGATTGAAAGCCTCGCAACGTCAATAGTTAACGGTCTGAAACCAGAAAAAATACATATGAAGCAAGTAAGAAACAGAAAAGTGATATTGAAATAAGTGAATAAATAACTCGAAAGCCTCAAAGATTAAAAGGTAATTTCGAGTAGGTGGGAAACAGCGCGAATTACTCATTTTTCTTGTTTTATTTATGTTTTTTTCTCGTTTTTTTGGTGATTTACAAACCAACTTTGTTTATTTCTGAGTTTTATTCCGTCATTTTTTATCCCTAAAGCTCTTTTCAAAGCTCCAGGTCCATTCTTTTTTTGATTTGCGCCAACTTTTTGTCATTTTTTAGTTAAAAAAAGCTCGAAACCTCGAAAAACTTTTTTGTAGAAGCCTTGGTCGCTTAGGAGATGCCTTAACGCAATTCAGTGATTTTAAAATGCGCCCGACTTGAAACTACTTGCGCTTGGAGGCATCAGAAAGCGTTAGAGGAGCAAGCTCAGAGACCTTCAGTTAACTTTTTTTCCCATTTTTGGGTCAAAAAAATCTCAAAACCTCGAAAATTTTTTTAAGAAACTTTGGTTGCAATCGAAAAGGTTCAACAGAATAAAGTTGCTCAAAAACGCACCCGACTCGAAACTACTTGCGCTTGGAAGCATCAGAAAGTATCAAGAGGCCTTCAGCTTACAGTAGAAAACGCGGGAAAAATTCCGGAATATCCTATTTTTATTTGAGATCGCGTTTTTGAAAATGAAGATCTTTAAGCCCAAGAAAAAGGTTCTAAACTCAAAATTGGTCAATAATAGACTCGAATAATTAACTTTAAAGCTATAAAAAAACCGATCTTATGAGTAGTTTTTTTATTGACTTTCTAGGGATCTATAGAAAAAAATTCCGGGAATAATATTAAAATCCATGAAAAAAATTAAATTTATCATCATTTCCTATGTATCTCTGATCATTATCTAATAGAAAAAAAGCTAAACTTTGAATTAAAAGGCTTCTCTGAGCTCAAAATCTCTATTTTCAAGAGTTTTATACCCATTTTCAACTGTTCTCCTGAACCCAGATTGAAAAGAACTTCTCAGAGAACCTACTGAAAAATAAGAAAAGCTTGAAAAAGGCGGTCCTTCCCTTCAAAAAGTAAAAAATGTCGAAAATATTTGCGCCTGAGGAAGTTTACCCATGATACCTCGGAAGGAAAAAGTTGAAATTTTTCGAAAAAATGGCTCAGGATGGATAAAGAAGGCTTAACACTCCTGAAAAGGCTAAAACCTCTGTTTTAATGGCCCAAACTCGAGTTTCATACCTATTTTCAGCTGTTTGGAGAACCCAGATTGAAAAGAACTTCCCAAAGAACCTACTGAAAAATAAGAAATCTCCAAAAAAGGCGGTCCTCCCCTTCGAAAAGTAAAAAATGCCAAAAATAACGGCGCCTGAGGAAGTTTACCCATGATACCTCGGAAGGAAAAAGTTGAAATTTTTCGGGAAAAGATTTAATATTGATAAAATAGACTTAACATCTCTCAAAAGCATGAAATCTGAGTTTTTAATGGCCCAAACTCGAGTTTTATACCCATTTTCAGCTGTTATCCTGAACCCAGATTGAAGAGAACTTCTCAGAGGACCTCCTGAAAAATAAGAAAAGCTTGAAAAAGGCGGTCCTTTCCTTCAAAAAGTAAAAAATGCCGAAAATAATGGCGCCTGAGGAAGTTTACCCCTGTTACCACGACAATCACTAATAGGTGCTGTGAAAAACAAAAACTCGTGGTTTTTTTTCCTGCACTAAATTAGTAGTTTTTTCCGTGATGAAGTTCCACCTGCACTAGTACGAATGTACCTTTTTGGACAACTTGTCTGGGAAAATTTTGCAGATAAGAAATATGAATAAAGAAAAAAAAAGAATGCTTGTCTTGATTATTAATATGCCTGGATCTTTGGAATATTGAAAAATAAATTTACATACGATTTTTTGAACCTTGAATTTGAAAAATGACCAAAAAACTTGATTAGGCTTGAAAAGTCGTGGTCGCATTTGGAATGGCTTGAAGCGTCGCGGTCGCAGTGCGGCTTGTTTTAATGTTTCTCCAAGCGTCTACGCGCAAGTCGCTTTGGGTCGGGCGCGATCCAGATCAACCGCTCAGCAGCCGTCGAGTCATTCCAAATGCAACCGTCAAAATTTTATTCTTCTAAGTTTTCATCCGAAATTTGCCTGTGGAGTCTCGAATGGAAGTTCAATAGGCCAGAACAATTTTCTCTGACTTGAAATTTTGTGATCGCACTTAGAATGGCTCGAAACGTTGCGGTCGCAATCCGGCTTTTTCTATGCTTCTCCAAGCGTCCACGCGCAAGTCGTTTCGGGTCGGGCGCGATTCAGATCAACTGCTCAGCAGCCGTTGAGCCATTCCAAGTTCAACCGTCGTCTTTGAATCAGAAGTTACCAAAATCAAAAATTTGATTCTTCTAAGTTTTCATCCGAAATTTGCCTGTGGGATCTCGAATGGAAGTTCAATAAGCCAGAATAATTTCCTCTGGAAAAAATTATATTTTTTCTCAATTTTCATCGGAAACTTTAGCGAGTAAAACTTGAAAAATGACCAAAAATAAAATCAGACTCATTTTCTTCAAATGAAAACGTCCTGGTCGCACTGGGAATGGCTTGAGGCGTTGCGGTCAATGATTTACAAAGAGTCATGCGTAAGTCGTTTTAGGTCGGGCGCGGTTCAGATCAAACCCAGCCGCCGAAAAATTCCAAATGCGATCATGATCGTTGCGTAGTTGGGTGAAACGAGTGGATATTTATTACTAACTTGACCAATCTCATTCTGAACTATGAAGTGTGATTTTTAAGCTCATTGAGCCGCGACAAACCAATCAACTGATATAAATTACTCGGAAAAAAGGCTGGAAAATAATCAGGAGCGTTTGCGGGGAAAATCGCCTGGCAACCGATTGTTTTCGACTTCCGGGGCTTCAAGTTTGCCCGGATTATGAAATTGAAAAACAATAATTAAATTTTCGACGCGACACTTGGATTTTGATCAAAGTCATGAGAAAAGGAAAAGGGAAAATGTGGCTTCTCGATTGGTTTTAGCAAGTGAAAGCTTCGAATTTTGGGACTTGGGTTCGAATAATTCGGTCGATATGATCTTAAAAAATCAGCCAGGTAGATAATTAGAAAAAAAAAACTCATTCTGAGGTTATAATTTTGAATCTTAATATAACTTTCTAATCTCAACTAAAATTAGCGTAAATCGCGTATTTTTTTTTGCGTCCGACCAGAAACGACTTACGCATGGCTGGATCTTCGAACCGCGCTTCTGACACATATATAGGGGATTTTTTTCCAAATCAGTATGAAAAGACGTTTTGACTCATTCCATGTGGTTCCATGACGTTACAAATTATCGAAAATCGCGTATTTTGTCGCAAAGCGAACATTCCAACCGTAAAATGATTGTTATTTGATGCCTACTCTACGCGTTTAGCCCGCAACTTTCAGCGCCCGACTAAAAACTACTTACGCTCTCTTGCATCCTAGAACGTGGAAACCCTGAGGATGTGACGCAGATATGAAAAAAAAACCAAATTTCAATTTTTTTTTTTGGATGTGTTCAAAAAGACGTTGTGACACATTCCATGTGGTTCCATGACCTTACAAATTATCGAAAATCGCGTATTTTGTCGCAAAACGAACATTCCAACTGTAAAATGGTTGTTATTTGATGCCTATTCTACGCGTTTCAGCCGCAAGTCTTTTGCGCCCGACTAGAAACGACTTACGCTCTCTAGCATCCTAGAACGTGGGAATCCCTAAAGATATGGCGCAGATGAGAAAAAAATCCCAAATTTCATTTTTTTTTTTTGGATGTGTTCAAAAAGACGTTGTGACACAATCCATGTGGTTCCATGACGTTACAAATTAGCGAAAATCGGGTATTTTGTCGCAGGATGGACATTCCAACTGTTAAATGATTGTTATTTGATGCCTATCCTACGTGTTTCAATCACAATTTTTTTCGCCCGACCAGAAACTACTTGCGCTCTGCTGCATCGTAGAACGTGGGAATCACTGAAGATCTGAAGCATATGAGAAAAAAATTCCAAAATTTATTTTTTTTTTTTTTTGAACGTTGTGACTCATTCCATGTGGTTCATGACGTTACAAATTATCGAAAATCGCGTATTTTGTCGCAAAACGAACATTCTAACCGTAAAATGATTGTTATTTGATGCCTACCAAGATGAAACTTCACCGCTATTTTGATGTTTACACCTGGTTTTTTGGGGGGCGGTCATTCGTCTCTTGGGAGAAAGTGGCGTCGGCCAAACTCGTTGCGAATTTCGTACCAAACAGACGGAAAAAAAAATGACAATACAACACGAAAATCTTGCCAAAAAGAGGGGGCAGACAACAATTTTTGTTTGCGGCCAAAGGGGCGTCTTCAATTTGTGATTCACTAACTTTCGCTCGATGATTTTGCGACAATTCAGTTCGTTTCGCGATTCGGTCTGTGGTAAATGACGTCTTTCCATGCTTCATTTTTCTTCGTTTTTGTCTTGAATTTTTTTTTCATATTTGATCCTTGCTTCGGAGGTTTCTAACTAGGGAAATTTTTTGAGACCCGGTTAAAATTTTTGTATAACTTTTAGGACTAACTAAGGAACGTTTTTTTCACCCCCGGTTGAACTTTTTGCTGAAACTTTGCTGAAGTGTACTTTAGGACCCCCTGATTCCAGAACAAGAAGAAAATTCCTCGGAATAGATCTCGTTCTCGAGTTAGGACACTTCAAAAGCCCGAAAAAGCGCTTTTTTGGCCAAATTTACTCATTTTGCACATTTTGAAGCTCCATAACTCGGAAACAAGATTTATTGCGAAAAATGTTCTACTTGTTCTGGAATCAGGAGGTCCTAAAGTACACTTCAGCAAAGTTTCAGCAAAATTTCAACCGGGGGATTTAAAAACGTTCTCTGGTAAATGAGAACACATACACATACTTTATGACCGCAAAAAGGTCGTATTTAGAATGGCTCAACGCGTTGCGGTCGCACTGCGGTTTTAGTCAAGACTTCTTTCTTAATCCCAAAACTTTTATAACATTTAGTTTCTGATGAAAATACTATAATACATAGAGAAACCATCGTCATAGAGCTTTTCAGGTGATTCCAGAACAAGAAAAAACAGTCTCAAAATATGCGATTTATTAAGCTTCAAAATATCATCAAATCTTCAAGAAAATCCTATTTTATTAGTCATGAACTTCTGAATAAAAGTTGAAATCGAAAACTTTTTTTAACCCATTTAATCCACGTGTCAGGATCGATTGTATCAAAATTATTTTTTTCATAAAAATCACGGAGAAACAGGAAAGCAAACTTTCATTATCAAATAAAAAAATCAATTCCATCAATTTTTAAGTGATCTTCCAGAAAATTCCAAAATGCCAAACTTTTTTAATGCCTCACTTTGGAAACATTTCTTAAGCTGCACATCAATCATTTGAAAAAAAGTTAACAGCCAAAAAAAAAAAGAGAAAAACCGAGTTCAGCGAAGCTTTGCACCCAAACTTTTACTTTGAAGAAAACTCTCAATTTCAAAAAAAAATCGAAATCTAACCCAATATTTTTTTCTTTGCAAAAAAATCATTAGAAAATTCCTACTTGCATCGTTTTTTCCTTTTCTTTCAAAAAAACAAATGTTAAAACCTCGAAATTCAATTATTTTTTTCGACATTATCTGTCCTGAAGCATGAATCTAGCCCTATCTCTTTTGAAAATTTCTCAAAAACCTTATATAGACTTCTGAAACATTCCAAACTTCTCCTGTACCCCTATTATTATGAGAAAAGTTCAGAAAAAAAGACTCAAAAATCACTTTTTAGAACTATTTTTATTCAAATAAAAGTAAGTTTAATTGGAAAAACTATTTAAAAAGCTCTTAAGAACGGATATTTGAATATATTTAAAGTTGATTTTTGGGTTCCTATTGGCAAAAAAACTATTAGAACTAAAATCCAAGCTTTTCCGTAATTTTTTATTCAATCTATTTGAATATTCAGTCTTTTTATCCTAGTTTTATTTAAAATTTCGGAGCTAAAATTTTAGATTTTTCTGGTCAAAATCAATCAAAATCCTCAAATTCAAATTTTTCGATGACTAGTCTGTCCAACTGCTCTAATAACCACTTAAGAGGTTCCTCAAGAACTACTTGCAGAGAACACTAAAGGGGCCACTAGAACCACCCCTATAGAAGCCTCTATTCTGCCTCTTAGTGGCCACTATAGTAGTTTGAGTGGCCTAGTAGTACCAATGGGACTCCTATAAAGGCCCTTACTCTGTTCATATTTTGAAAGTCAAGTCCTCATTCAAGCTCCGCCCCCTAATGACGCGATAAACCAAGCAGAAGCGAGCCACACACAGAGCGTTTTCGAATGACGTCATTGTCATTGAAAATGTGGACGGACTACTTTAGTGGCCACTAGAACCTTTTCTGGTACTTTCACGAATCTTTTCAAAAAACCATTCTGATTACCGGAAAGACGGTGTCAACTTCAAAATTCTTTTATCAAATCCAAGCTTCTCCTGACTTTTCTATCATATCGTATAAATGTACCCGAAAAGCCCTTCAAAATCCCAAAAAGGCCGAACCAACTTCCAACCTCTCCAATCAAATCCAAGCTTCTCCTGGCCTTCCGGGAGAGGGGGCGGATGGGGGTCATTAATATACCCGAAGAACCCTTTTCAAAATCCCAAAAAGGCCGAACCAACTTCCAAACCTTCCGACGAAATCCAAGCTTCTCCTGACTCCCCTATCCCTCTCGCAAAAATGTACCCAAAGAACCCTTGAAAATCTCAAAAAACCATCTTCAGAACTCTCCCTCGCAATGGCCTCGGTATACACGGAGGACGAAAAGGTGTTCGGTCAGTACCCCCCGAAGACGTGTCTCTACGTCTACCTGGTCCTGGGCGTCGTCCTCCTCGCCATCCCATTCATCAGCCAGCCGGTTCTTCTGCCCCTCAACATCGTCATCGCCGTCATCGGCGGGGCTCTGATCGCTTTGGAGTTCTTCGCCATCTCCAAGGACAAACAATGTCTTCTTCTGATGTTCCTGATCTTCGAGTCGATCTTCCTCGCCTTTTTGGTCTGCTTCCTGGTCTTAGGCCTCATCTACTACTTCCTTCTTGAAATCAAGGCCGACGATGAGCCGTGAGTTTTTTTTTCAATACTCCTTCAACCTTGGCCTTTCCCGCCACTTTGTCGTTAAAATTGATCCTAAAATTGATCCACGGTTTTAGCCACATATGACATGCTAAACCAGAGTAACAGGGTTCCTGGTTCGAATCCCGCCGGCGACATGAACTTTTTTGCCATTTTTATTTCTCTATCGAGTATATTTTAAACTACCATAATCCTTTAAATTCCTCATATTCAGACTAGTTTTAAGCCGTTGTTGTGAGATCTACTGATAAATAGTGGAAATGATTCTCTCTGACCTTTCTGCGCTCTCTTTTCTCTCGCATATACTCGTATTTCTGTTCTAGCGACAGTTTCAAGCATTCGGAGATTAAAAAAGTGGTCTATTAGGGGATGTGAGAGGTTACTGTAGTTCAAACTGTACTTAAAAGATAGCCCTTGAGATCTCAAACAATTTGGCACCAAATAAAAAATGGCAAAAAAATTTTCGTCGCCAGAGGGATTCGAACCAAGAACCCTATACCGAGATGATAGTCTTCTTATCTAGTTGGGTTTTTGCGTTTAGCTTCTATGTAGAATGATCGAAAATGAGGGAGTAACAGCGATTTGAAGAGACTCCAGAGAAAGAGAATTATTCTACTTCTCTAGAGTCTCTTCAAGCCTTTATGAGCTCTCGCCTTCTTTCATTTTGAACCATCAATTTCTTCGAAAAATGACTAACAATTCAATGAAATAAGGACAAAGGAAATTTCTTTAATCGCTTTTTTTTCCGCTTCGTTGGGTCACATGGCTGGTTTTGTTGTGGCAAACTGTTTCTCTCTTTTTTTTTTCAATCGCAACCCATTCAAACTTGAAAGGCGTATTGTCGACTTTCTGTTTGGTACAGGGAACGTTTCGAAAAAAAGTATCATATATATATATATATATATTGGTGGATGGACTACATTTACAAAGAAAAATTGGTATTTCCAAACTTAGAGAGATTCTGAATTACACCCTTTTTATTTTTCAAGAGGCTTGACCCTTTCAAAAACTCAAAAATCGAATCTTTCAGAGAAAATCCATTAGTCGGAACGAAGACGGACAAGATGAGCAAAGCGATGGCCGGCGTCCTGATCATCGAGGCGGTCCTTCTGGTGCCGTCCATCCACAGGTGGCTGCTCACCTGGCAGGTATACCGTCACGCCAAACGCCGTAATGCGAGATACGCCGTCGACGCCGCTACGCCCGTCGGCTATCATACCTACGCCATCGCCTAAATGAACTTCCTTTTCTGTATAGTTTTGTATGAAAGATTGTAATAAACTACTCATTTTTCTGTTGGTAAAAAATCGGTTGAAAAGAAAGAACTTTAAAGGCATAAGGGCAGTGAAAAACGGTGTTTCAGTTCAAAGCAGTACTTTGTAGAGTTTTTCATTGCGAATCGAACGGTGAATTTGGAAACGTACAGAAGTTCCTAGTTCTGGAGAAAAAATAATTCAAAGTCGGAGGGACTTTTTCTGTCGTCACCAAAGTTATTTTCGTCTCAAAAGCATTCATGGTAAATTTGCAAACTTTGATCGCAAAAAAGCGTTTTTGGTGAAAAATGATGATTTTACACAGGTTTCGATTGGGATAGCGATTATTTGTGTTTTCTATATTATTGGTGTGTGTTTTTTGTTTGACTAAATGGTTTATTTCAGAGAAGAAACTCTTGATTTGAAGCAGATACCCGGTTATTTCCAACAAAAAGCGAGTCTAATGAGACTTCCGCAACATCGCGTGCACGACTACTGTAAACAGTTGTCCGTACACCGATCCAAAGCATTTTTCAAAATTAAAGGCGGGAGAGCAAAATTGCGTTTTTCTTCTAAAGTTGTCACATCTGTAATTTTTTGAGTACACCATTCGATTCGCAGTGAAAAACTATATAAGAAACTTCTTTTACCTGAAACCCCATTTTTTACTGCCCCTATGCCTTTAAGGTGTAATCAGAGTTGCTCAGGCCTAATTTTATTCAGTATTCGGTTTTGGTAGCTCACAAAAACTACGAATTGTCGGACCCGTTTAAACTGAACAGCCACAGGTCTTCGCCTGATCTATTACTTTTTGACCACATCTTCCAAACAGTTCCCTAAAATAAACTAGCTTATGTCTAAAATAACGTTAACTTGAGACGCTAAGGGGCGTGGCCTTTCTGTGTTATCTCCTTTTTTCGTGTCAAGACCCTTCTTCAACGGTTCAAGCCGGCCTTGGATCAGCTATAATACAATTTCTCGTTCGTATTTTGGACAGAAACAAACAAAATACGTTCACTTTTCCCAAGTTGTCTTCGAAAACGTGTACAATTTTATTCTACCTTTATGGTACAGTAAAAGAGCAACTTTTTGAGACTTTTGAGCATTGATAGCCGTAATGATCATAGTTACCTATAGCCTTCAACTAAAAATATATCCACTGAAAAATTAAAAAAATGGTCATATTTTTGATTCTTCAAAAATCAGTAATTTCTATCAAAAAAAAATACTTTTCCTATGAAAAATCCATTGATTTTATCATCAAACTTCCCACAATGTTTCCAGAAGGTTTTCCCCTGCCAAGGACCTTTTCCGTGTCCAAGAAACCATCCTAACGACACTCATTAATCAAAAAAAAAGGTTACGCTGTTGTAATATCACCCTGTCTTTCTACAGGAAACACTTGGGAATAGATAAAAATCACGGGGTTAAGAAAAACTGATAGAAAAAAAAAATACAAAGTAGAAAGGAGTCGAGTAAAATTTTTTTAAAGATATTTTCAGGGGAAAAAGTTAATTTTCGAAAAATCTTGATACTGTGGAGCTTCTCTTTCAGCTTCCAGATGTCTAAATATAAAAAAAAATCTAGAGATTGGTACCATAATCTGTTCAAAACAATTTTTTTGGGATTTGTAAAGAAGAATGTTGAAAATTGCACCTAACGGGACTCCATTTTTCTATGAAAACCAGCCCAAAATCCTATCTGAGCAAACCGGACACGCCACGGACGTTTCTGAGAACTTCAAGGGACCACTTTAGGAGCGTCAAAACACTCAAGTGATCCCTGGAAATGTTCGGAAGTGTCTAGTTATCGTTACCGAGGTAAAAAATCCGTTCTATATCCTGTCAAAGTATCCCATAAGCCACCAGACGATGTTGAATGAAAAAAAAATTCAAACCCCGGGTAATTTTTGCGGAAACATCGCTCTATCGCCAATTTTAACCACAGAAACCGCCCGAAACCCTAGCAATTTATTCCATATGCCACCGAACGATGTTTACAGAAAAAAAAAAATTCAAACCCCCCGTAAGGTACGTTTTGCAGAAACTTCGCTCTATCGCCAATTTTAACCACAAAACCAGCCCAAAGTGTTCCAAAATCGACCAAAGTTTTATTATATACCCGACTCAGTAAAATACAACAAAAGAGGTCCGGACAGGCGCCATCGAAACCGGCCTATTAATTTGCGAGTTTTTGTTTTTCGCTCCATGGCTGAACGGCGTGTCAAGGAACAGGGAAAGTGAGAGAAATTGGTTCTGGCGTCGACTGTTTCGTCTTTTCCAAGCCATTGTTCTCCATTACTTTTTTTTTCATGGCTTACATTGTGAAAGTGTACATTTTCGGCCACTTTTACTGGTTGGTTACGTCTCAGGGTTGTAGCAGAAAATGTTAATAATATAGTTTTTTCTAGTCTTTTCTTTTTGAAGTTTTCTCCTAGCCCTTTATATGAATCTGGTTGTTGAACTGTACATTTTCAGCCACTCTTACTTGTTTTTTGGGTTTCAAGCTTTTACTATCGCTTGAAATTTGAGTTTTTTAGGTTTAAAATAAAGATCATTAGAATTTGTTACTTTAAACTTTTTCTTTGTTCCTGAAAGTAAGAAGCTTCAAAAACTGATTATTACTTTTTTGCCTTTTTCTCCATTACTTTTTTTCATGGCTTACGTTGTAAAAGTGTACATTTTGGGCCTCTTTTACTGGTTGGGTGCGTCTCAGGGTTGTAGCAGAAAATATTAATAATTTAGTTTTTTTAGTCTTTATTTTTTTGAAGTTCTCTTCCAGCCCTTTATATGAATCTGGTTGTGGAACTGTACATTTTCAGCCACTCTTACTGGTGGGTTGGGTCTCAAGTTTCGGTAATAAGTTGAAATTTAAGTTTTTTAAGTTTAAAAAAAACGATCATTAGACTTCTTTATTTCAAAGTTTTTCTCGTTGAAGTTAAGGTCAACTCTGTATTTGACTAGAAGCTTCGAAAGTTGATCGCAAATTTTTTTTTTTTGCCTTGTTTTCCAATTCTTTTTTCCATGGCTTGCATTTTAAAAGTGTACATTTTCGGCCACTTTTACTTGTTTTTTGGGTTTCAAGCTTTGGCTATCGCTTGAACTTTGAGTTTTTTAGGTTCAAAATAAAGTTCATTAGACTTCTTTATTATAAAGTTTTTTTTTATCTTTGAATGTTAGCTAGAAGCTTCGAAAATTTATAATCGCTTTTTTTGACTTGTTCTCCATTACTTTTTTCATGGCTTACAATGTAAAAGTGTACATTTTGGGCCCCTTTTACTGGTTGGTTACGTCTCAGGGTTGTAGCAGAAAATATTAATAATTTAGTTTTTTTTGTCTTTTCTTTTTGAAGTTTTCTCCTAGCCCTTTATATGAATCTGGTTGTTGAACTGTACATTTTCGGCCACTTTTGGGTCTCGAGCTTTGGCTATCGTTAAAATTTTCCGATTTTTTTGAAAGTTCCAAAAAAAGATCATAAGACTTTGTTACTTTAAACGTTTTATTTGTTCCTGAATTTAAGTAAGAAGCTTCAAAAACTGATTATTTCTTTTTTGCCTTGTTCTCCAGTACTCTTTCCATGGCTTACATTGAAAAAATGTACATTTTCGGCCACTTTTACTAGTTGGTTAGGTCTCAAGTTGTAGTTGGAGGTCTTATTTAGGTTTCAAGCTTGTCGAAAAATCATAAAGACTGGTTTCAAAAAGTCTGATCAATTCTGAAGCTTTTTCCGGGCCTTTTTTTTAAAATTGAATCTGAAGCTAGGAGCATTTTTTGTACCTCAATATTGATTTTTCCTTTTTTGAACAGTAAATTTTCGACAATTTTTATTTATTGGTTAGGTCTAAAGTTCTATGGAAAGCTCAAAATTTAGGATTGGATCCTCGAGGATCGACCAAAATCACATTAACTTTTTTTTTCTTTTTTTTTTTCAATTCGATTTTGATTTTTATCATTATCCCTTATATTTGAACTGTACATTCTGTCCACCTCTTTATTTGTTTGGGTCTCCTGTTTTTAAAAATGCTTTTTTTTAAACTGGGCCCTCAAAAATTTCAAAAAGCCTAGCAGGAATCAAAAATCAACCTTTCAAATCAAAATAATCTCAGAAGACCACAAAAATTTTCGGTTTGGCTCGAAAATACAGCTGAAAAATTCTAAAAATCAATATTCTTTGAAAGTTTGTTGGTAGACTGTTCATTCTGGCCCCTCAAAGCTACTTTTTCGAGATAAATTTCAATTTCAAACGTGTCCATAATATTCATGTTTCGAAACTGTTTGAAATGCTCAATAATGGATTTGCTAGCATTGCCACCATCCTCGCGCAAAATCTAACAACCCTAAAAAAAAATAAATGATTTTAAGACCTAGGCTTTTCCTTTTCAAATAATTCGAAGGCTAAACAATTTTGAAAGCTTCAAAAGGTTTCTAGAAACTTAAAGTGCGTGGGCGAGAATTCTCATGGTCTTTTTTTGATCATATGATTTTTTCTGACAGTTTTTTTTTGCTTCATTCTCAATTTATTCGGTTGCGAGAACAATTCGAAACTGACTTTCTTGACTTCCTCGACTTATTTTTTTCAAAAAAATATGTATCAAAATGATACTTCTCTTATTTAAATTTGCTTTTAAAAAAAGATGAAGAAGCCGAAAAAAATTTTCATTTTCGATAAGGTGCAAAATTTACCCCCACTCATCTTGACCAAAAAAATGATATGTTACTAAAAAAATAAAATTTTTCCATAAATTCACTTGAAAATGGATTTCTCGAGAATTGAAGTCATATTTGAAAAAAACCTTTAAAAAAAGAAAAATCGTAAAAAAATTGGGTACAAAACTTCATCTATTCACCGTTATCATAACCAAAAAAATGATAAATTACCGTAAAATTATTTTTTTCAAAAAGTATCCTTCTGTTCTAAAAATATACGTCCGCATTTTTCAAACAGTCCAACCTCAAAGTGCAAAACCGTCTTTATAAAAATCATATGAAGCTCTTTTTTTGCTTATTTTTCAACCAGCGCTTGAAAATCAATCTAACATGAGGCTAAATAGCAATTCAGACACTGAAACAGTTTGTGCAACAGAATCTCTTATCGCAAAAAAACAATTTTGAAAGCTTTGAAAGCGTTTTTTCGAAATTTGCGTGAGTCAGCCCTCGTGGTATGTTTGTTACAAGTTTCTCACTGATTGTTCTGAAAAGGCTTTCTTTACCATTTTCGCAAATACAATTAAAACGCCCTTTTCGAAAAAAAAACCAAAAAGCTGCAAATTTTTCATTATCGCTGAGATGCCAGATATGCTCCATTCACCATTATCTTGACCAAAAAAATGATAGGTTACTGTAAAATTGTTTTAGTTTTTGTTAAAAGTTTTCTATAGACCGTTTTTCGCGACTTAAAAGGCCATGACTTCTCTGCGCTCTCCTCATCTCTCGACGTCCCTCTCATGTTTACGTGCTATTTCAATGTTTCTCTGACCTTGCCGGCGAGGAAACAAAGAGACGCAGACACGCAAAAACTGTCAAGTCGCGGTAAATGGACTATACTCTTTTTTAAATTAAGTACCGCCTTTAAATGAAAAAAGGTCCAACAAAGTCGATACCTGCTAAATTTTAGTTTTAAAACTTTTTAATATTCATTTTTTTAATAGAAATTCGTATGGGTAGAGACTATGTAGGATCTGTATATCATTCAATTTTCCAAATTTAAAATTCTATTCTTTTGTTCGCATGTTCCCTATAGTCCAACCTTACAGTCCGTTTCTCGAGCCAAAAAGGCCAGGACTTCTCTGCGCCCTCCTCATCTCTCGACGTGCCTCTCATGTTTACATGCTATTTCCATGTTTCTCTGACCTTGCCGGCGAGGAAACAAAGAGACGCAGACACGCAAAAACTGTCAAATACATCAAGATTCCAGACCACCATGCCGAAGACGGTGGTGACGTCATTTCACACAGAGTCCAAGTGTTGCGGTGCGTTCCCGGCAAAGGTCGGGCTCTACGTGATCATCGTCACGTTGCTGGTGGCCACGATGGGATTCTACTTGAGTGGCCGCTATATCGAGTGGAGTCTGTCTTGGACCACTCTCTTCCTTGCGTTATATGCGCTCCACGGCAATCGCAAGATTCTTCTGTTGATCTATTTGATAGTCCAAGTCGTATTCTTCCTTCTTTTCACTGCCCTTCTGCTCATCCATACTGTCCAATTCATTTCCGGGAAATATGATGGGTTGGTTTTGAAAAATGTTCTCTTTTTAATGATTCTGAATCTAAAAGCCTCTTAAAAAAATATTTACTTTCGAAGTTTTTCTGGTCAATTTATGACAAAAAAATCCTTTCAAAACTGATTATTGAACTTTTTTTGAACAGAAGATTATAATTTTTCAAAAAAATAAGGATTATTTCAAGTCTATCAGTCCAAAAAAGGAAGAAATTGGTTAATTTGATAAATTCACGATTCCTTGCTCAATTCGTGACCAAAACGATGGTCCTAATGCCGTGTTCAATTTGATTCCGCGAAATGCAAAATGATCTCTGACTCTCCAAAATCTAGTGATTTTTCTTTTCCTTTCTCTAACGGGTATTTTGCATTTCGCGGAATCAAATTAAACACGGCATAAAGCTGACCCCATAATTTTTTTTTGAACGAAAAATTAAAATTTTCAGGAAATTGGAATACAAATTTAGGGTTTCTTATTCAATTTATCATTAAAAAAATGACGTCATGATCAACGAAAAGCCAATTAATTACAGAGACACAGACATCGATTACAACCCGAATCATCACAGACAAACCATCTACGGGCTCATTTTCCTTTTCGTCTGTATCGTCCTGCCTCTCTTCATCTCCTCCATGCTCACTTACAAGGTAATTTCATAAAATAGCTTAACGAAAGCTCAAAAAGCCTAAAAATGCGCTTCGGCAGGCTTAGTATCCTCTTAGGACCTAATAAAGCCAATTCATCAATCAAAGTCCAACAAAAGCTGGCTGAGACCCAAGTTTTTATTAAATTTATTACCAAAAACTTATGGTCACTCACGGAACGGGTAAAAAAGCATAAGGCTGCAAATCGGTCTTTTCAAAACGCGACCGACCCGAAACGACTTGCGCGCTATTGTATTGCAAAGCGTGAGAAGAGAGCTTTTGAGTTTCAAACTAGATATATAAGTTATAATCGCAATACTTACGCGTGATAGAATCGGGAAGCACTAAAGCAAGTAAAAAAAGTCGGTCATCAAAACCGCGACGCCTCGCGCCATTCCAAATGCGACCTCGACTTTTAAAATCACAGTGAACTGAGTGAAAAAAGCGAAAGGTTGAATAAAAAGGTAAATGATCAAGTTTGGAAATCTGAAGTCCCAAAACAGGGATTATGGAACAAACTTTCCAGAAACAAGAAAACTGATGATTTTTTTCGAGTTCATGGTGGACTGTAGGAAAACTTTCAGAATCAAAATTCTTAAATTTTTTTGCATATCAATGACAAGGGTATCATATCAAAAAGTTCAGAATAAAAAAAAACATGATTTTTTCAATAAATCCCATTTCCAGGTCTACCAACACGCTCGAGAGAAAGAAGCTCGCCAAAAGGCCTACGGGGCCGTTTCTCGTAACCCAACTACTTCTGTATAAATATCACAGAATAAAACTTGAAATATACATTGTCTGAAAGTTTTATTCTGGCTGTGTGGCTCTGTGGCCCAAAAAAAGTCAGGTTTTGCCCTTCCTCACCACGAATTGCGTGTAGCCAGAGATGTACCGCGACACGGCCTGCGGATTTTTCGTGATTACTCCGTCCTAAAAAAATCAAAAAAATGTATTTTTTTTACGGCGTTGCAGGGAATGGATCGACGCGTCGCGGTCGCGAAGCGGCTCTTGAAAATTCGGTTGTTTTTTGGAAATAAAGCTTATTTTTCTCATAATGATGCCAATGCTGCAAATTTTAAGCTTCCAAACTTTTCAATTCTCGAAAAAATTGCAATTTTATATTTGATGGGTTCCCAAATGAGTGAGAAAAAAACGCATTTTTTTTTTCAAATTTTGGCGCGAAATTTGAAATTTTCCTAGCTCGAATGCTGAGCAGGGTAACCCAGCCGTGCTAACACGGGGTCTCCGCGGGTGCCCCCGTATTAAACCCGTATAAGCCCAGCTGATAGAACTTTTGGCACTTTTTAGCCCAACTGAGACCCCGCTTTAGCCCAGCTGGGTTACCTATTTTTCTTACACCCGTTGTTCCCCCGTTTTAGCCCAACTGAGACTAAAATAACCTCAGAAACACGGGTTTAATACGGGTACACCCGTTGAGACACCTGCTCAGCATGCGAGAGTTATCATCCATTTTTTTCTTCATGGAAAAAATTCATTAAGTTTCAAATTTACGATTTTTGACACCTATAGTGATTTTCAGTCTCCATTTCACAATATTTTCGAAAAAAAAACCCCATTTTTTTCAATTTTTCTTTCTCGAATATAATGGTCCAATATGTTTGTAAAAATATGACTCAAATCCTCCCATTTCTAGAAAATTTTTCAGCGCGTCAGACCAGAAACTACTTTCGCCATACTGCACCATAAAATACAAGTCGCTTAAAGTCGGGTGCAACTCTTGGGTCAAAACCAAGTTTCGAATACATTTCTTCCGCGACCGCGACGCGTTCCAACCCATTCCAAGCTCACGAAAATCCCGAAAAAAGAAAAAATTCCAGACCTGCAAGAACAAGTCAAAAATACACATGATCATGAAGCCGAATTGAAAGTAGGATTGGACGGATTGGTGTCTGGAAAGTTGGAAAAAATCTACAATTTTTTTTTAAACTCGAGAAAAACCTCATCAAACGGACTTCTTTGACAATGTCCAGTGGATTCAGGGTCGGCATTTCCTTCACCCTTTGAGATCCATAATCAATCGCTGAAAATGCGACTTTTCTATACTTTTTCTTCACGTACAAAAGTCCAAGAAAAGTTAATTTTTTTTTCTTATTATTTGATACTTATCAGGATCTTACCGAAATCAAAAATATCTTAATTTTCGTCTTCAAGTCATTTATGTAACTTTGAAAAAAGTCATATGTTTTCATTTTTTTTCTTCTAATTTTCAATTCATCCGGGTCCACTCAAAATTGAAATTTTCTCACCCTTTTTTCTCTTACTCAAGTTAAATCAAGCCACAAAGAAGCCAGAAACCATCCTTTTCTCCACATTAATATTATCATGTGGGGACCTCAAAACATTAAAACTCGACTGAAAGTCAAAACTTATGGAAAAAAATGTTTTTTTAAGGTCTTAATCAGGACTTTATAAACTTTGTTTCTTAAAAAAAGACTTTTGAAAAAAATTTATTACTATTGCTTTTTTTATAGCTCCTGGTATGAAAGGAACCCGTCAAACATAAGAAATTGTCAAAAAAAGTTGCAGTAAAGGACGCAAAAATCGAAAAAAAATTGTTTTTTTCAAGTCCTAATCGGGACTTTATAAACTTTGTTTCTTAAAAAAAGACTTTTTGAAAAAAATTTATTATTTTTGACTTTTTCCTTATAGCTCCCGGTATGAAAGGAACCCGTCAAAAAAATAAGAAATTGTCTAAAGAAAAAAACTTTTAACTTTTTCATTTCAAATTCACTTGGTATCAAAGCTTCCAAATCCTTGAAACCCAAAATTTTTTTTTTCAGGGCTCAAATTTTTTATAAGCTTCACTTTCCAGAATTTTCAACTTTCGATAACTTGTGGTCTAGACTTGAAAAAAAGCTCATGATTCCTCAAGTTCAGGTGAAACTTGTCCAATTCTGTTTTGGAACATTTCAAAGAACAAATAAAATCTGAAAACCAGCTGTAATATTTTTCCTTTTTCTTATTGGATTTCAGACTACTTGGAAAAATTTTTAAAAAAATGTTCTCGAATATCGAAAGTTATCCTTTTTTTCTGAAAAAAATGTAATTCACCAATAAAAGTCGCCGAACGGCCGATTCCAGCAGAACAATGAACCACCACAGGGCAATTATTCGACTGAAAACCCAAAAAAATTGATGGTTTTTCACTACTGAAAAAAATTTTTATATTGGGAATTTCAGAAGCTTCTTTTTGATGGCTTATTCTGAGTTTTACAAATAAATTTGAAACCGATAAAAATTTCTTCAGAAGGCTTTAAAATGCTGAAATTTAGATTTATAAACAGGTGTTTAGGTTTTTAATTTTTTTCTTTTTCTTAAAAAAATTTTTTTATAGAAACATATGCTTGAATTTGATGAAGATTTCAGAAAAAAATTGAAAAAAACCGAAATTCTAGAAGAAAAAAATTATTTTTCCGGGAAATTAAAAGGCTACGGTAAGCAACTTTCTGTACACCCTTTCTTCACTTTCTTGGCGCGAAGTTAAAATCGGCTTTTTTTCAGAAAAAAATTTATCATACTGCAATTTCGAGTGTTTTTAAACTGAGGCAATAAGATCAAAAATTTCATGGAAGGTTTGTTTATTCAAAAAAATCTCATTTTTTTCTGAAACATAACAAGCATAAAAAAATTCCAAAAAAATTTCACAAAATTTTTCCACATTCCCAGGGAAACCTCACCTTTTCCCGCGCCAATTTCAGCAGCTGAACGATTCCGCCCGGCGATTTCGGCGCAAAATGATCCAACCAACCGGAATGAATGAAATGGCTCACTGTAATCGTGCCTGGAGATCCCCTAAAAATCTCCTTTTTTGGAAGAGATTCTCGTCAAATTCATTACGTTTTTTGTACTTCAAAGACTCGATGTTTAACGCTTTCGATATTGATCGAAGGCGAGGATTTTTTGGTAACTTTATAGGGGCCGTAGGTCGCTGAATCCGTCGTTTCCGGCAAATAAACGTCGCATTTCGACATGTTATCTGAAAAAGTGTTTGCCTAAATATGATTCCAAGCACTTCAAATAATTGCTGAAGACGAAAAAACAACTAAAAAAATGTCTAAACCTCTCATTTAGCCCACTATTTCGCTAAAATTCCTCTCATAGTCAGACCAGCAATGTAAGACATTCCAGAAAGATTTTCGAAATTTTTCAAGATAGAATTTCAATAACTTAAAAAAATGAACCCAGAATAAGTTCCTATATACTTATTGACTCCACTGACTGATAAAGATCATGTGAATATTTGGCGCGAAGTTCAAAATTGGCGCTGGAATCGCGAAAAAGTCAATAAAGTTTGTTGAGATTTTCAATTTATTTGAATATTTATTTCACTCCACTACATATAATAACATGAGCTACAAAGAAAAAGGCAAAGTTGGGCAAGAATTGTATGGGAGTGAAATGAGCACCGGTTTTAATACGCCCTCACGAGCGAATTTACCGGTATAGGGAATAGAACACGTAGAAGGATTTTTGATCACAGTAGACGCAAGGGAATGTTGGAAAAGAGTTCTTCGTTGCTTAGCGAGTCGAGAAACTTTCTGAAACGGGTGGTAGACGTGTTAGGGTTGAATCTTGAGCAGAGTCTATTCCAAAGAGGAATGACAGAGTGCTAAAAAAACTATTAAATCTGGAACCAGTCTGAATCAAACGAAAAGGATACCGAGGTGAACGACTTCTACTGAAAAACTTTTCTGCGCTAGGAAAGTGGTAAATGCCCAGGACGATTTTTTGAAGCGTTACTAGAGCAATAGAAGTTCTCCTACGGAAAACATGAGTAGAACCGAGTACATCAAGGCGATGGGAGTATGTGTCAAAGGATTTATTACGTCTCATGAAAACTTGCCTAGTATAATGACGGTAAGGTTTTTCAAGTAGGACGGAAAGTTCTGAATTTATAGGCGGTGAGAAGATTTCAGAGCAATAGTCAAGATAGGGTCTAGCGTACATGTTGAATAGTAAATTATACTGCTGGATGTTCAAGTGAGCAAAAGCTTTGAGCAGCTGTTTAGATTTGAGAGTGGCAATGTTGACTACATGATTAATGTGAGGGCTGAAACACAAATTTTTATCGATAAGGAGACCGAGGTCTCTGACAACAGTTTCAGATCGAATAGGTGAGCCATTAACATTGTAAACATGTTCAGGATTGTTTCCTGCCTAGATGAAGAACAACAGTTTTATTGGCCGCAACTGGGAGGCCCCAAGTTTTGGACCAATCGAGCAATCTATTTATACTGTCTTGGATAGCATCAGGGTTATCTGAAGAGATTTTTCAAGTCATCGGCGAACAAATATGAAGTAACGGAAGAATCAAAGATATCTGGGAGGTCGTTGACAAAAAAATTAGGAAAAAGAAGCGGGCCAGTGACAGTGCCTTGTAAGACTCCTGAGACCACGTTGAAGCTATCATCAGAAGCAAGACCATCAATTAAAATCTTAGATGTGCGGCCAGAGAGGAAAGTTTTAAACCAATTGACCATAAGACTATTGAATCCGAAAGTTTCTAGTTTGGCGATAAGAAGGTTGTGTGGGACATAATCAAAAGCTTTCATGAAATCAAAATAAACGACATCGATTGGTAATCCCCTACTAATAGAAAGTTTCCAGTTTGTAACAGAGTCAAGGAGAGCAAGTGTACAACTTCGATTGTTGAGAAAACCAAACTGACGGGAAGAAAATTTGAGTTTGAAGCTTGATTTTATGTGAGTGGCAATTATTCGCTCCATAAGTCTTGCCAGAGGATGGGTTAGACTTATAGGTCTATAATTTTTCAGGATCAGCCTTTTTTTCCTTTTTTTATAAATTGGAACAATGTATGAGAGTTTCCAAGATTGGGGAACAATACAAGAGAAGTATGAATCTGTGAAGAGAATTGACAGCGGAACAGAGAGGGCTTCTCTACACTGCTTTAACACATAGAAATTCATGAGATCATATGAGAAGCCAGTTTTTGGAGCCAATTTAGAAATGAATTTATGAATGTTGAGAGGAGAAAAATCAGGATGAACAGAAAATGGTTTGCCGGTTGGAAAAATGGAAGGAATTTCAAAATTATTTGAGTTGCGGTTAGTAGAAAAAACGTCAAGAAAGGCAGATGACTTATCAATGTTGGACATACAATAAGTGCCTTTGTGCTCTAAATGAGGTATGGTCGGTTTTCAATTTAAGTTTTTTTAGAAACATATTTGATTACAGATGAAGAATTTCCAGAACGAACAACATCAAGTTCTTTGCGTTTGAGCAGGAGCCTAACCCTATTTTTGAGACGAGAAAGCGAGGAGTTGAACCTAGTTCTCTGGGTGAAAGTAAGAAGCCCTTGTCTTCTCAAGCCAGCTTTGTTTCTAATGAGACTTCTTATACTACAACGAGAGCGATTAGGTCTGAAAGGAGGATTGGAAGGACAAAATTGATTTATTAGTTCATTGAAAATATTGCAGAAATGTTGGTATTTGTTTTCAAAGGTAGAAAAGAAAGAAAATTGTCTGGGCCAATTATAAGAAAATAAAGCGTTGTTAATAGCAATATAATTACCTTTGCGGTAATTTTTTCTAGGTCTGGCTGAGTCAATAGCACGATGAGTGTCACTTTTCAGAAGAAAGGAAACTCCTATGTGATCGGTAGCAATTGGAGGGTTAACAGGTAAAATTGAGGACAAAAAGAGATTGCAATCTGTGAGTAAGACATCAAGGATAGTGTTAGTACCACTCGAAGAAAATCTAGTTGGAAAATCAACTAATTGGTCTAAATTGAAGCTCGAAGCAAATTGAAACATTTGGTTAGTATGACTAGCATTATCTCCATTCCAGGAGACGTTAGGAAGATTAAGGTCACCAAGAACAATGTTTTTAGAGGATCCAAGAAGAAAAGACAAATTTTCTATAAGAAATTTTGTGTACTCGCTGCTACTGTCCGGTGCTCTATAGATTAGATTGAAACGAAATTTATATCCTGGGCATATAAGATCAAAAGAGATTATTTCGCAGAAATGTTTCGAGTAAAAATCATCCAACCTGGCATCCAACTCGATGATTTTCAGACTTTTCCTGTAGAGAATTAACACGCCTCCTCCCGATTTCTTGTAGTGTTCAGGACGTCGATCACATCGAATATGAAAGTAAAAATCATTAGTTAGTAAAGAATCGACGCAAGAGTTGTTCAGAAACGTTTTAGAAACGAAACAAAGGTCAAAGTTCTCAAAATCCAAGTAAGTTATCAAAATTTTAAACTTAGACACAGAGCTAATGAAGCGAACATTTATGAGAAGACATTTAAGGTTGTTCGAGTTATTCTGATCAGATGTTAGCGAATCAAATGATTTAGACGTTTTTACAAAAGAGTTAGTCAATTTGACATAAGTATTAGGGATATTTACATTAGGAATAACATTGAAATTAGAATCATTAGTATTTACAGGAATTTGAGGCAAAATAGCAAGAGGAAAACGTTCGGGCCGCGAAATCGACGGAGTCACCATGAAGGACTCAGACTCACCGTAACCAACCGTGTGTGGGGTAGAAAAATAAAAGAAAAATGGAGGAGGATCACAAGCGGGTCCACGGCTGGTGGGTAGGTGAGTGTGGGGGGAGGACTGGTAGGGCAAAACGGAATCGGAAAGCGCGGTAGTGACGAGATCCTATTGTTCCATTTCATTTGCCTCAGGCAAGGAAGAAGGCGCTGAAGACGGGGAAATGACAATGGACGGATCTTTGATCTTCGTTGAAACTACAAACTTTCTAGGTTTATCAGTTTCGACGATTTCAAGGTCTCTAACAAAGTACTTAAAGATTCCAGCCTTAGCGTTATCTTCGTAAGCCTTTTTTCTCAGGGAGCGGAGAAGGGATAACTCCGTTAGCGTCATGTCGCGTCTGCAGCGAGGATTCATGGGACACGAGAGACTGACGACCGGAACAGAATGGCGAAAACGACTAATGAAAATATCACGGTTGTAAGTAGAACCGAGTCGAATTTTCAGCGGCCTGCGTTTGGCATCACACTGGTGTCGAAAAACTTCATCCGGGCACGGAATACCGGCTTCAGCACATATGGCGTCGACGAAATCTCTGTCGTTCTTGTCCTGGGCAGGAGTTTTTGAGTCGTCAAGGCGTTCTATGACTGCTTGAAAGCTTTTTTTCTCATTGACGCAAGCTCATGGGTCATTTTGACTTGAGATGAAAGTCGGGCAAGGTTGTCAGGCAGCGTTGGCGAAGATTTGGCTGGTGTAGAGGAGCGAGTATTTTTGCTGAAGTGAGCGATTGAGGTTTCGTAGAGCTTCATTTTCGGATACGAGACGAGAATTCTCAGCGACGAGACCAGAGTTTATCTCTAGAAATTGAGACAAACGGGAGTTCAAATCTTCATAGGCTTGTTTGAGCACTTTATTGTCAGCGACCACTTGAGCCAATAAAGTTCGGAAATTTTGTTCATCATCCAGATTAGGGTCAGAACTCAATGAGTCATCTGCAGATGGAGCCGGGCGCTTTTCCCGAGGCTGACCCATAGTCCCAAAAACAAAGGGTGAAAAAGGGCCACGAAAAAGTAGAGAAAAAAAGAGCCAACCGCACGCGAAAGAAAAAGGCGGTGGACTGAGAAAAAGGCGGACGACTTATTGTGGCTACATTATCCTTATTTTTTGACGATGATCCTCGAATAGCGCTGCATTTTTTTTTTGGATTTTAATTCTTGTTTCTGGATCAAAGAAAATCCAAATACTTAAGCGCTATTAAAGGATCATCGTGGTGCGCGATAATTAATTATGATTTTTTGTTTTTAACTGAAGGCGCTGCTTAAAGGCATAGGGGCAGTAAAAAATGGGGTTTCAGGTGAAAGCGGTATCTTATATAGTTTTTCTTTGCAAATCCAACGGTGTACCCAGAAAAATTACAGATGTGACAACTTTAGAAGAAAAACGCGATTTTACTTTCCCGCCTTTAATTTTGAAAAACGCTTTGGATCGGTATGCAGACAAATGTTTACAGTAGCCGTGCACGCGATGTTGCGGACGTCTCATTAGACTCGCATTTTGTATGAAATAACCGGATATCTGCTTTAAATTGAGGGTTTCTTTTCTGAAAAAAAGCATTTAGTCAAACAAAAAACACACACCGATAATAAAGACACAAATAATCGCTATCCCAATCGAAACCTGTGTAAAATCATCATTTTTCACCAGAAAAGCTTTTTTGCGATCAAAGTTTGCAAATTATACATGAATCGAAGGCTTTGGTGACGAAAAAAACTCTGGTGACAACAGAAAAAGTTGAAAATTGAAAGAAACGAAAAAAAAAAGCGAAAATCCGGAAGATGGCGAAGCGTGTTGTCCATAAAGCATCTTTACTGGAAAGCGCCATTTTCGCGGGAACTCAAACTTTTCTTTCTCCGACTTGGAATTATTTTTTCTCTAAAACTAGGAACTTCTGTACGTTTTCAAGTTCACCGTTCGATTCGCAAAGAAAAACTATACAAGATACTGCTTTCACCTGAAGCCCCATTTTTTTTACTGCCCCTATGTCTATAAGTTTAGAAGGCGCTGCTTGGGTTAAAAAGGTGCTGCTTATGATTAACACTTTTCGACGAAAAAAAATTTTAGAAACCAGAAAATGAACCTTCAGTGTAGCTGCAGAGCATGATGATCATTGAGACCTTCTCCGTGAAGATCATGTGCCAGAAATCTTCCATCGTGGACTTCATCGGTGCCTGGGTGCAAATGTACGCCATCGAGTCGGGCATCCGCATCCAAGAAGCGTGGATGTAGTCATTCTCGGGCGGCCGTTCTTTCAGGATGACTCTCGTCGCGTCGAGACACAGAATATCCTCGTAACTGAATTGAGATACGTTATTTTCTGTACAAAAATTGTTCCAACATATAAATCTTGTATGTATGGACTTAAAATCATTATTAATGAAAGTTTTCAGGCGAAATAAAACGGAAAATGATCAATTCCGACTCTAAACTTGCTCAGATTGACATAAAATGGAAACGAAGACGAATTTATTTTCTTCTCAAAACTTCAAATATCCTCTTTATTCTAGCTTTAAAACAAAGCTGACAAGCACGAATGCGATTTGATACTGGAAAAAGCGCTTAATGACATTTTTTGTGTAGATTCAAGTCTTTTTCGAGTTGTACGAAAGTATAAAGAAAAAATTCGGAATTGCAGTTAGAAGAGTTTTTCTTCTCTCAATACGGAATTTCTTGATCAACTTTCCAGTTTCCACGGAACTAGATATATTCCACGACAAAGAAATCAATACTAACAATGTAACTCTTAAACTTCTCAAATAAAAAGAAAAAAACATGCAAAAAAATGGACAAAATTCTCAATGGTATCTTGTCAATAGAGCAACTTTGGCTCCAAGATGCATTTTTTGCAGAAAAAAATTCGGACATTTTTTTCCTTTTAGTTTTTTTTGTACGTTTTTTTGACTCAATACATAAAATCACAATGACTTAAATTTGAAAATTGGTTTTATTTTTTGTCTCGAATAATTTTGTGGGAAAGCACGTTGGCGCATTTCGAGTTTCAAGTGATTTTCTTGTTTTCATTCAATTTTTTTTTCACGAAATTGTTTCTTCATTTTATCCAGAATATTAGTTGTGTGTCTATCATAGTCATAAGGAAAAAAACTACAGTTAAAAAAATAACAGGAAAAAAAATCGGATTATTGGAAGTAAAGTCCATGAATTTCGCAATATTTAAACTTTTTCCTTGCCTCAAGTTCTTAATAATCACTCGTTCTTTTTTTAATTTTCCAAATCCCAACCGATTACGATCACCAAATCGCAGCATCGTCGAGGATTTCGGCGCCGACTTTATGGTCGAAGTCTTCTTTTTGCGGAAATCCGAAAAAAGAGTCATCAACTTTTTGACAGTTGGCTGAAGACAATCGATGAATTTAAAAGTTATAAAAAAAGTAATTCACATATTCAGTCATAACAAATGCGACCCATTTCGCCCGACTGTCCGTCGATCCCAAATCGATAGTCCCCAGAACTTCGTCCTAAAAAAAGATTATTTTTATTCATTTTTGTTCGTAAAATTGATCACAATTTAGAAACCTACTTTTGGTGGAAAAAAATTGTCTGAAAAATTAATTGTGCACAACTTGCATACAAGCTCCGCCCACTTTTTTAAGTCATGTAAATTTTTTTAGAAAAATTGAAAAGGTTTTATAACTTGGAAGTACATCGAGAAAGCTCACAAAGGTTATGAATACGACGCGTAAAAAAACCATGCACCCGTTGCATTTTCTGAGCCAAGCTCCGCCCGTAAAATGATGCGGCACCAAAATTTTTGCTAAACTATGGGAAATGAAGCCGATCTAATTAATGTTTTATACTTTATAAGGCCACGCCCATTTTATTGCGCACAATCTACAAAATACAAAAAAAGAGAAAATGGAAAAAAAATTTCAAAAAAAAAAAATGAGCCTTTCACCTGAATACTCACCGTGGTCATGTCCTGTGTATTATTCTGAAAAAAATATTATTTCAAAAAAAGTTTTTATCATCATTTTTTGCCGACTTTATCAATTCGCTTTGAAGATTTTTTTAACAATCGTAGTTTGGCTCGTTTGTTTAGCCATCGACCTTCCCTGTGAAAAATCGAAAATTCGGAACAGAAATTGAAAAAATGAGAACCTTCTTGGCGACCTCCGGCTTGGCGATCTGAAAAGGGAAAATTTAGAGACTGAATGAAGGAGTCACAGTGTTCCAAAACAGGTGAGTGCAGGTAAAAAAAATAATTATAGTTAAAATGAGAGTTTCTTTGAACGCGACGCGGTGCGGCGCGTGTCAACCTCAGGAAATTTTCATTTCCTTTTACTTGAATACTTGAAAACTTGAGGGGTCCCTATAGGGGCATCCCTAAAGGCCCTTGAAAATTCCACCACATATTGAGGCCCATAAAGCTTGCAAAAGTGGTTTCTATAGGGGTTCTAGTTAGGGACCACTTAAAGGAAGAATGCTAGACGCTAAAAGGCCCTATAGAGACCACTTGGGCTTCAGGGGCTTAGGGGTCAGACCCTAAATCCCTCAAGGGATCACTCTGGCGTTCCTGTACAGTTTTTTCGCGTATTTATTGAAAATTCAGCATTTTTCACATTTTTCGTGTTCTATAAAAGTTTTTGATGAGTTTTAAGAGAATTTGAAGAGATTTTCGACTGTTTTTGCCTCATAAAAACCTATTAAAATCACATTTTCGATAATAAATTGATTCACACAAACTGTTTCTTTTATTTCTCTGTCCTAAAATCTTGAAATAAAGTTGCTTAAGAGATCTTCTGTGGGATTTTTTTTAATATTCGACAAAGCTTCCTTTAATATTATTCAAAACACATTAAAACCCTTTAAAAACGTGGAAACCCATAAAAAAAACTCGTTTCAAACTATTTTTACACTCATTCATGCCGTGTTCAAAGTAATTTTCGCGAAATGCAAAATGATCTCTGACTCTCCATAATTTAGTTATATTTTTCTTTCTCTGGCGGCAATTTTGGATTTCGCGAAATCACTTTGAACACGGTATAAAGCAACGAAAAAAGCTCTCAAAACCGCGCCCCCATTGCAACAAACCGTGCGTCTATTGCAGCAAGCCACGCCTACTGACCGAATCTGCAGCCCGTTTGGGAACACTGTGCGATCTGGAAATCACTTTGCTTCTGTCGGCCTCTGTCTTCGTTTTTTCAATCGTCGCATTGGCTTTTGCCGAGCCTCTTCTACGGTGCGTCGACCTGGCACTCATCTTTCAAGCTTCTGAAAAGAAGGTTTCAGAATTATTCAATTCATCTATAGTCCATTCGCCGCGGCTTGAAAGTTTTCGAGTGTCTGCGTCTCTATGTTCCCTCGTCAGAGAAGTCAGAGAAAAATGAAGATAGCGCGTCAACATGAGAGGGTCGTCGAGAGACAAGGAGGGCGCAGAGATAAACAGGAGTTTTCAAGTCGCGAAAAACGGGCCATAACGATTTTATTCATCCGTTTTTTAAACATCCAACCACATTTTTTTATATTTTTAATAAAAAAAAGAGAATAATTATTGTTTAGAAATGAATCTAACCAAACCAGAAGGGAGGTAGCGAGGCACTATGAATATCTATAGTTCACGTAAGCTACGGATTTTTCTGCATTTAAGATAAGAATCAAAAACGATTTTATATATTTTTAAGCGCAAGAAAGAAAAAAAGAAGAATTACAAGACTTTTTGCAAAAAAATAAAAAAAATTTTTAAAAAAATAGTCAGGATTCGAACTCGGGATGCCATAATGATAACTAAACTCATACGAACTGCGCCAAGGAAACAGGTTTTTTTGCCAAAGCCTTCCTTAACACTAGGAGAGCAACAGCGGAAAATTAAATGTTCTGTACGCAGTGCACGCGAGGCATAAAAAGCGACGCGCAAAAAAAGCGTTTGAACGTTTATAATAAATAAAATCAATTTTTCTGGTTGGTAATTATCCAAGGATCGCCGAAAAAATCTCTCGAGAGCTTATGAGAAGATTGTGAAATGAAAAAAGCATTTAAAAAGGGCGATTTTTCTGAAAAAGTACCGAAAAGACCTATTTCATGAGTAATATTTTATTTTGCTAGTTTTTTTTTCACTTTTTTCTGTCATCAAATCGTATAACTATTTCAAAACTTCTGTTTTCCCAACAAACTATACAATTTCGCAAAAAATTCGCGAATAAATCAAATATGATATGCTTTCCGATCGACTTTCCCATTGCCAAATGGCCTCTTTTTTCGTCTTTTTTTTTCTTTTTTTTTGATCCGAATTTTCCCTCGCTCTTGTTCGCCGACCGCGCCGCTCTTCTTATGTAGTGGTGAGTGGTTTTTAATAGTTTTTATTCATTTTCACATCGAAAAAATCGATTTTCTTGGTTGTCGCCTGGAAAATTTCAATTCCAAGCAGGTGATAAATGCGGTTCCTGGGCAAAAGGAAGGAAAAGGTGGGTTTAAGCAGGTTTTCTGTCTCAAAAGTTTCTTGAATTGTATTTTTCTTCTTATTTTTTTAATGAACGTGACCTCTTGTTTATTTTTTTAAACACAAAATCCGATTTTTTTAAATCGAACTTTATATTTTTTTATTTGTTTTTTTGTTTGAAAAAAATAGTGATTTATACAAGGGTTTAAGTTTTAAAACTCTAAATATAGCCAAAAAAATGAATGAAATGAAATTCATTTCTGGCTATATTTTTTTAGCAAAAAAAGTTCAAAACTTGATCTTTTGTTGATTTTACAGTTTCATTGTGTCTTTTTTTGAAAAAGATTTATTTTTCCAGGAAACAATGAGCAAAGATCTGTGTTTCCGCAATCCCAACTACGTTGGACCACCCAGCCTCAATGGCGCCGAAAAATAACGGTTTTTCTATTAAAAAAAAATTTTTTTGATTTGAGAAAATTGCAGTGCTGCTGAGATCTCAGAAAAATTGAATAAAATATTGATATTTTTTTATTTTTCAACAAATTTTGAATTTTTTTCTCGCAAAACTTTTTGAAGATTTGCTAGAAATCACAAAAATTTTTGTTATTTGTTGTTATTTCTGTTAAAAACTGCAAGAAAAAGCCGATTTTTTTCCGTTTAATTCAACTTTTTTTCAGATCTATTTTTTTGATGGAAAAAAACTCCAAAAAAACTGATGATTTTTCTAATATTTTTCGATGCATTTTACAAAAAAATCGAAATAATTTTTTTAACTAGTATGAATTTTTTTCGAAAAATTAATCAGATTTCTTCGAAAAATTGAACTAATTTCTTTAAAAATTTGGACGAACTTCTATCAAATTTAATGATCTTTTTTTGAAGGTTTAATGAGTTTTTTTCTGAAATTGAAAAAAATGTCTTTGAAAAATTGAACGAATTTATTTAAAAAAACTTCAAATAAAACCAAATTTCAAAGATCAAAGATCAACGGATCTCTAGAAAAAAATCGGCCGATAGATTGGCCCATTTTTTTGATCAAATGTTTTTACAATGGGATTTCGTTTTTTTTTTCCGTGTTCTCAATAGGTTTTTTTGGGGATTTTTCAATCACTTTTTTTCGCTCCGTTGCGCCATGAGGATATCCGTCCCGTTTCAGAGCAAAATACTCGGCGACGGTTTGCATTTTTTGAAATTTATAGTGTAGGATAGCTGGATTGAGTCTATTAGAAACCTTATTTCGAAATTCGTTCGAAAAATCAAAAAAAAAAAACGGTAAAAAAATGCCAATTTCTTAAAAAAATCTTCTTTTCTTAGGAACGCCAGAGGGGTACCTCTAGGGGTGAGGGTGAAAATCAGCCCCTATAGGGGTAAAGCTAAAATAGTCCCTGTAGGCTTTTTTTAATTTTTTTAAATTCATTGAATGTTTTTTTATAAAATTCTTAATAATAATCGAGAAGCATGTCCCCTACAGGGGCCACTAGCTGAACCCCTATAGGGACCGCTTGGACAAGCTCTAGTGGTTTCTATAGGGTACAGTGGTCCCTAGAGAGGAGCTATCAAAAAGAGCCACTTTGGTTGCCCCTGGAGGGACCACTCTGGAGTTCCCAGAAGCTCATGACGTCATCAATTAAATTTATTTTTCTTCAAAGCCATGTGAACATTTTTGTAGTCATTGATTTTTTAATGGTGTAAACTTGAAGATTGTGTCTTTTTTTTCTTCCATATACGGTGTGTTCAAGTGATTTTCACAGCTCCGCAAATTACAGGCGATGTCGCGCACGTCCCGATCTCCGCGGCTCCAGTGATCGCGGCGCCGTCGCCAGTCGAGCCGCCGGAATGGCAGGAGCCCAAGTGCTTCGGGAAGTTCCCGGCCAAAGTCGCGCTCTACGTCTTCCTCGGAATCGGCGCGTTTTTCGCCATTTTCGCCATGGTTCAGAGGCAGATCGTCAGCGGCGCCATGAGCATGGCCTGGATTGTCCTGGAAGTCTACGGGATCTACAATAACCGGGTCGGAGTCTTGCTGGCCAGTTTCATCATTCAGTGCATTGGACTCGTCTGCTACGCTTGCTTGGCCGTCTTCGTCATCTTTTTGTTCTTCTACTATCGGTATTCCATGCACAAGTGGGTCTTTTATGGATTGGATCTTGGTGTGACATTGAAAAACACGTTGTTCGTACTAGAAATTGGTTCGGATTTGAAACGACTGGACATTTTTGGATTTTTGTGGTTGCGAGAGAAATGCGATGTCGCGCATAAGAAATGCGATATCGCGCCGAACAAATGCGATATCGCGCCGAACAAATGCGATATCGCGCCGAACAAATGCGATATCGCGTCGCGGTGGCTAAGCATTTTTATACGAGAATAGGTCGTCTTTAGTCTGAATACCTCAAAAAAAAAAACTTTTTTTGCAGCCTCGTCGAAGTTGACCCGAGATTCGAGAAACTCCAGGCGGTGCGACACAGCATCGACGCCGCCAGTCTCATTGTCCTGCTCGTTCTGCTCATCCCGGCAATCTGTCGCTGGACCCTCACCTGGCAGGTCTACCTGCACGCCAAGAAAGTTCGCACGTCGGCCCAACTCCAGGCGCCACCTCTCCCTCGAAAATCCGACCTTCAAACACCTTGAAAAGCGTTGAAGGCCCCGTTTTGTTCCCTGAAAATGAATGAAACTGATAACTCGCATAAAAAACTTGTTGTGAAACTTGTAACCTACTGAGAAAAAAAAATATAAAACGTACCGTAAATCTAAAATTTTCCCTCAAAAATGAATAAATGTCAAGCTTATATACCGGGAAAAATGGGAAGCTGGCTTGAACGAACTGGCAAAAAAAAATTACCGCGTCGGGACTCGAACCCGCGATGTCAAAATGATAATCTGGCTTATTCCTACTGCGCTATACAGACAAAACGGTCCTTAGGACGAGATAGCCACATACCTCTTCACCTACAGAATATTCCACTGCTTTTTTTCGATGTGATAAAAAAAATCATACAAAAAAAAATCGAATTTAAGGAAGAAAAAAAATTTCTAGGACTTTTCATTTTCCAAAGCTTGAAAAAACGTGTAGACCGGCTTTAAAACAAGATAACCTATTTTCCACGCGGAAAAAATCTAATTAAAACTGGAAATGCTCAAAGAGCAAGATGGGTTGAAGGAAAACTGGAGAGAACTGAGCAGTTCTGAGCCCCCAAACGGGAAAAACAAAATGGAAATAGCCTTCCCGGAGAGGAGATCCAGAGAAGGAAGCATCAATTCGTTGTTTCGGTGCTCCCATTTTTTCGTCAGCCAAAAAAGGCCTCTCCTCGAGCACATTCTTGTTTTCTGACGTTTTCGATATGTTAAGAGAGCTTATTTCGTTCTTTTTACCGAGAAAATTTGGTTTTTCAATGAATAAAAGGCTTCTTTTTTTCATTCCTCTACGAATTTTTCGGTTATTGAAAGCAAAATCTTGGCGCATATTCTATTTCTGATTTTTGAGCGCTATACATTTTTCAAATGAAGCAAAAAATTGAATATTCATCTCTCATTCTCTGACCCCAGGCGCCAGCTATCCGCCAGAAAAAGTCATTTCGCGAGCTCGCGCCCATCAAATTTGTGGCGGTTTCCTGGCGATTCTCTGGCGACGTAACCAATAGCGCGAATTTGCTTTTATTACTGTATTTTTATATTGCGATCTAAAAATTTTGGGACTCGCGTTTTTTTGTCTTTTTGTTTTTTTCTATTTGATTTTTTTGCTGATTTCACGATTTTTTTCAGTGTTCGTTTCCTGTTTTGTCCAAACTAGGGCAAAAGCGATGCCGCAATGCAGTTTTGATGTAACAAGCAATTTTTTTCTTGATTTCATTTTTTTCTTTTTTGTAAAAAAATTCAAAAAAAGCTGTGTATAGAAGTAAAACTGTAGGTTGCGTAGGTCGTTCAAAGAAAGAAACGCGATTTTTTTGCAGGACAATTAAATTTATAAGATAGTTTTTTTACATCTGGAGTTCTGCAGCAAAGGCACGTATCCTCCTTCAAACGAAACAAAAAGAACAGACTTTAGTTGAAAAGAAGTTTAAAAAGTCAGAAAAATTATTAGAATATAAACCTTTGTTTTTATTTGTGTAGAGCTTAGTAAATGTGATGCGACGGAGGGTTTCAGGTTTAAAAAACAACAGCTTGAAAGGTTGGTAAATAAGAAAAGTTCGGATTATTTTCTCGATTTAGTTTCGTGGATGATCAACCGCTCTAAAAGCTTAATGTTTTCATGCTGAACTTCTCTTTCCGTGAGGCTGAAAGAACGACTCCAGTTGAATTAGTAAGTGCTTTCTACTTTTTTCCTCAACTGCTTCCTTCAGAAAAAAAAGCATCGTCAGGAAGTCCCCGTTACGGCTGAAGGGTGTTTTTCCTCTGACTTTGGTAATTTTTTTGGATTTCATGTAAAGTACTTCATCGATATATTTTCGATCTCACCCGACGGCGTCATGATGTTCATTGCAAATGGATAACGATGCTTTGACCAAAAATACGGAGAACGGGTACGACGCAAAATGTCTGCGAAATTTTTCAAGTTTTTTTATATTTGTAAACTTTACACGTTCATCAACTTTATGAGCCTCAAAAAAATATCTTGATGCACCCAAATTATTTTATTTTTTTGTGTCCGTCGTAAAAAAATTCAGCTTTAAAAAAAATACAGCTTATATATTTTTAGCCTCAAAAAAATATTACTCGGATTTGTCATGCTCGCGAAATTCGGCTGACGAGTAGTGTTTTTCGAAGCAGTTTTTTTCGGACTTGAAAAATACGTTCCGTAGTTTGCTTTTGAAAAAGGGGCTGATAAATTTGAAGAACCGTGTTGTATCCCTGCACAACAAAAAAATGTAATGCTTTGATCATAATTGTGAACAATCAGAATCTCTTCGCACTATTTTTTTCTTCATTTTGTGGCCATTTGAAGTAAAGTGATAAATGGCTCAAAGTTTTTCTTCACGAGTAAAAAAATTTCCTCTTTTTCAAAAAAACTTTGTATGAGAGTCTTCTGTTTAATTCTCTATAAACTAATTTTTAAAACTTAAAAAAATTGACTGCTCGTCGATATCACTTCTTAAATGCGTTGGAGCTTTAAAATTTCTCTCTTCTTTTTGGTATTTTGAAGCAACAGATAACTCTTTGCATATTATCGAAAATTAAAAAATTTTAAATTTTAAAATTTTTTGGGTTTACGAGCAGCCAGCTTCAAGTTTCCTTTATTTCTTCGGATTTTTTTGGCTTACATTTTTCTAAGATGTATTGTTTGGTAAAGTTTTTGATGTTCTGTTATTATGATCTTTTTCGAATCGAAAGATATTGTTTTTAAATTAAGTTGTAAACTTTGCAAGCGTTTCCTTCTTACATCTCATTTTTTTCAAGTTCTCTTCATGTTTGATTTTTATATGTTGATTTTATTTCCATTAAATTTTTGTATTTGTGAAATAATAAAAGTTGATAAAATATTTTTTTAGTATATAAAAAAATAACAATATTGGAGGAAGGGAAATGATTGAAAAAAAGGGGGAATCTGCGCGCTATAGATAACCCTGGCGAATTTCTGGCGCGTTTTTCGCCAGCTCGCCGCGATATGGCGCGCCAGCTCGCGAAAGACGGGGCGCGCGCTGGCGAAAGATTGGCGGAAAGCTGGCGACTGGGGTCAGAGTTATCCTCAATGGATCTCAAAAATTGTCTTTTTTCCTAAGCTGGCATCATTTTTTGAGTGTTTTCTAAGTTTTTAAACGGTTTACCTATCCTCTTAATCTACGAAAAAAATAATCGGAACAACGCGAAAATTTCAAAAATATAAAAAAAGGAATAAAAAAAGAGATGAAATTCGAATTTCGAATATTCGAAAAAAAAAAATTAGAAAAAGTCATTCGACGTAAAACTGCACTCGTTCTGCAGGCACATGACGCGCAAGAATAACATTTTGAGTAACTTTTAAAAAAATGTTTTTTTTTCTTTTTGATGGAATTGATGGAACACGTTTTTAAAAACGTTTTTCGATTCATTCCTGGGAATTTCTCGCTCTCAAGATACATTTTCCTGCTTTGCTCCTTTTTTTGATTTCAAGCTGGTGAATAGACGATAGAACCTTTTTTCTTGAATAGAAGTAAAAGGGTATTCTATAGGATCTTTTTTCAAATGAAAACTTTTTTTCAATTTGAAGTATCGGAGTGCAAACCCGCAACTCAAAAACACAGATGAAATTACTCACCCCTCCGAAAAAAACCGGTACTCTATCCGATCCTTCTTTCCTTTCCAATAAATCCAAATCGATTTGCCCTATGATCCAATAAATATTTCAATTTTTTTGCTTCGAATTGAAATTTCTTTGTTCGGAATTTGACAATATGTTCATTTTGATATTTTTTTGGGTCAAATTTATTTGTTTTTTTGCTTTATTTGCTGTATTTTTTTCATTTTGAAGCCGAATTTTTTTCATATTCGTTTTAAAAATTCTCTTTATACTTTTATTTTTTTAAACGTCGTTCTGATCGAATAAACGTTGGAGAATGGCTATTTTTTTCGAACTTTCGCATATTCTTGTAAAAAAAAGGTTGATTTATTTGGAAATTTTATTTTTCCAGTCTTCTCATAATGGCCAATATTGTGTTGGTAACACAGCCTCAGCCCGATTTTTTTGAAATTCACATTTTTTTCTCCTGCTTTTTTTCTTATTTTTTTAGTCAATGTTCTTTAGAATATTTTTGAAGTCCCTTATGAATTTCGTCATTTTTATCAATTCGATCTTGATTTTTTTATTTTGTCTTCCAATCTTCATGTAATTTTGTTCCATTTAGAAATAGAAGAATGTATTTTGTTTTCCCCACGCGTTTTCATGCAGAAAAACGAGGTTTTACCTGAAAAATCCATTTTTCAGCCTCCTCCCAATGGCCAACATCGTGTTGGTGACCGAGCCGCAGCCGGATTCCAAATGGTTCGGTGTATATCCGCCGAAAATCGGACTCTACGCCTACCTGGGCCTGAGCGCCTTGACGGCTGTGTTCGGCCTGAGCCAGGGCCAAATTTCGGCCGGAGCCCTGGTCGGAGGTCTCATTTTTATCGAGGCCTTTGCCATTTATCGTGACCACAAACAGCTTCTCCTACTTATTCTCGTGCTTCTCACGATTTCCGTCGTCTTGCTATTTTTCCTCGATGGGTTTCTGTTATTCCTGTTGATCTTACTCAGCAGCGAAATGTCGAAGTAAGTCAAAATGTGAAAAAAAATGCGATTGAGACGATTTTGAGCGATTTCTTATGGTAAAATAATGAAAAAATCACTTTTTTAGTGCCGAAATTATATTGATTTCGAGATTGCTACTGAGAAAACAGTCGAAAAATTTTTTTAATCTGAAACCTCAAAAAGTTAAAAAAATTACTTAAAGTTCCGAATAATTCAAAAATTTTTTTAACTTGATAGTTTTCTTCGGGGAAAAAGTTTATAAGTGTAATAACGTTTTTTTGAAGAAAAATGTGATAATGTTAAGGTTTTTTTAGCCGTTTTTCAAAATTTTCTGGGAAAATAACTGAAATTTTTTTCAACTTGTTCTTTATTTCATTTTAATTTTTGCGCTGTTGAAAAAAAATTTTTAAAATTTGTAAAATTCCTCGAAAAAAAGAGCACTTCAAAAGTTTGAAATAAATGAAAATCTTTTGTTCTAATTCAAAAATCGTTTTACGGTTTCATCAAAGTTATGAAGTTTGACATAAATGAATTTAAAACTATTCGTTTGGAGTCCCATTTAAAAAAAAACATCGAAAAATGATAAATAAATGACTTTTTTCAGTTTTCGAGATTATTTAATTTCATATGAAAATAAACTCCAGCCTTTAAAAAAGAACTGAAAATGTAATCTGATGTATTTTGAAACTTGAAAAAGTTGAGATTTGAACCAAAAACCAAAAAAAGTATATGCTATTCATGACTCAGCAGGAGCCTCATGAATATCCCAGGAGAGTTGTTCTTGTTTCGCGTTTCTTTGAAGCTTTAAAATAGTTCACCCGAAACGGAAAACTTTTTCAGTTAAAACTGAAAAAGCACGATTTTCAAATAAAAATAGTTTTGCTTTTTCTAATTTTCTGTTGATTCAGATCTTCAAGGAATCCTTTATTTTAGTGAAGCTATCAAAAAATTTTCTCGATTAAAAAAGATTCTAGTGCATCTAGGTTGAAAAAAAAATGATAAGAAGTGGTCCCTATAGGAGTTTAGAGTCTAGCCCCAAAGCACTTAAAGCTCAAGTGGTCCCTTTAGTGGTCTTTCAACTTTTTCTTCTGAATATAAAACGAGATTTGGACCTCTAGGATGCATCTCTAGAATGGCCAATTTTACAAGCTTTAGTGACCCCTATAGGGGTCGTCCCTTGAATGGGACCTACAGGAGCCTCTCCAGTGACCACTCTAGCGTTCCTCCTACCTTTTCACACTTTTTGAGCTTTTTTTTTCTAAATCAACCGATTTTGAGAGAAACTTCCGGCGCAGAACTCGAGAAATGGAACGAGGCGATGCGGGACATGCCCCTGAGAACCTATGTAGTGGTGATCGCGATGGGACTCCTTCTCTCGATCCACATATGGGTCCTGACGCGAAAAGTCTACGAGCACGCGAAACGAAAGCACAACCGGCAAATCGCCTACGCAACGGTCGCCGAGGCTCCCATTTTGACCGGAAAAGACGGAGTTTGATGTCTTTTTCTCGCTTTTTGTCACTTTCTGTATATTTTGCTTTGTGAGAATTTTTTTTTTCTGAAGTGCAATAAACTGTGACAAATTTTTAGTGACCACTATAGAGGCTCACCAGGGACTACTTGAAGATGACACTGAAGTGGCCACTAAACCCACCTCTAAAGTGGCCACTATTTTCCGTTTTAGTGGCCACTTGAGTAGTTTTTCATCCAATATTCCTTCCAGTAACTCTGATAATTTTAAAACAAACAGTTTGGACCAGTTATGTTGATCCATTGACCCCTAAAGTGGCCACTTAAATTTTTAGTGGTCTAGTAGTAGCACCTAAACCCCTAAAGTGGCTACTTATTTTTAACCTCTTGAGTGGCCACTAATTTGACCACTATAGTGGCCACTAAAACGTCAAAACCCTTAAGTGACCACTAAAAATTTTCCCAGAAAGTCGATGTCATTCCATTAACTTTAATAAAAATTAGCTGTTTTAGAAGAAATTGTGAAACGTATAATACATTGTTTGCTTCATGAAACGCATTTTTTCATGAAATACGAATTTTCGACGGCAGATTCAAAGGTCTGAAGCTTAATTTGGAACACAAATTCAGTAAAAATACTTTTTTTTTGTGCCGAAATTTCAATATTTTTTTATTTTTCAAAACTGCCTTTTCCACTGGATTTTCAGTTAAAGAACGGAAAATCTGAGATTTTTTTCCAAGTATTTTTCTATCCAATCTGCTATTTTTTTCAACGCTTGAAAATCGGAGAGGAACCCAAATTTCACAATTTTCCCCTTTTTTCTCAGATAAATCTCTTCTTTTTTGCTTTTTTTAAATCTTACTTTATGCCCTTGTTTGATTTTCGCTTTTTTAGGAATTGACAAAGTTTGACGATTTTTTGCTTTCTGTGATAATTTTTCGAAAGTGTCTCAAATAAAGAGATTTTTATTTGTATTTTTGTCACCTTCACATCTTTTTTGACAGTTTTTCTACCAATTTTTGAACTTTTTTTCAATTTTTTTCATTACCTTCTAAGCATTTATTTTTTTTTTTGAATTTCGCCTTTCTGCCCGCTTTTCCTGACCAAAGCTGATTTTTTTCTTTTTATTTTTTTATTCAAAACTTCTGAAATCCTGTTTCATAAATGTACATAAACCTTGTTCATGGCTGCTTCTTTTTCAAAATAAAATTTTATTATTCTTCTAATAAATTGTGAAATTTAAGAAAAAAATAGAACAAGTTCTGAAATGAGAAGAGCACCGTTGGAGCAATAATAATAGAAACGTATAATATTAGAAACGTAATATTTCATAATAGAAAAAAATTTCTTAAAAAAAGAAACCCGGTAAAAAAATTATGAGGTTTGTGGCTTGAAAAGGAAAGTTTTGGGAAAAAAAAGGAAAATTGATTAAAAAAATGAAATTTAATTGCTATACAATACTACAATGAAAATCATGCGAAATTTTTTACAAATTTGGGATTTTTGGGGTCGCATTGAGAATGGCTCAACGTTTTATAGCTGCACCCGACCAAAAACGACTTTCGCTCTTGGTTGGTAGATGATGCTTCAAAATTGCGCGATTTTCGGTTCGTTACGAGAATTTCGCCATTGCGCCCGACCGAAAACGACTTTCGCGTGACGTCATAAGAAACTCGGTTGAAAAAAGGCTTTGAAATGCTTCGAAAATGAGTGGTTTTTTGGGCCGCGTGGAAAGTAGATCAAGGATTCAAGCTGCACCCGACCAAAAACGACTTTCGCTCTGGGTAGATTTGAAGAAAAACGCTTCAAAATTTTTCGAAGTTGAGCGCGATCGTCGTGTTGATAATGATTTTATAGTTGCGCCCGACCGAAAACGACTTTCGCTTTGTAATTTTTGGACGACAAAGACATCAAAATTCTCCACTTTCTAGTCGTAATGACAAAGTTTACAGTTGCGCCCGACTAAAAACGGTTTTCGCGGACCGACATTCGAAGTCTTGCTCAACTACTTCGAAAGTATTGAACTTCAAGCGCGTTAAGCCATTCTATATGCGACCAAAGGCTCGAAAAACATCACTATTCTGAACAGGGTCTCGAAACGATTAGTTCCATCTACAGCAACCTAGCTTCATACATCAAACTAACAATTCCTCTTGCTTGCTCTCAAAATGGTCCTTTTAATGGAGTCCTTCTGGGGCATGAATCCGAGAACTTCGGCGTCCAAGGCGTCGAGGACGTTCTGGGCGCACGTCTCCAGACTCTCCCCTTCTCTTTTGTACGTCTTCAGCTGCTCCATCACTCGGCGCTTCTGAAATTCTAGAAGCTGAGCTACTAAAAAATCGAGAAAAAGTGTATTTTTCTTTATAGTCTGTTCAGATTTTGAATGAAAAGCTCAAGCTCCGCCCCTTTTTGCGCTAAAGACCCATCAGCGAGCGTTTTTTATTTGACGTCATTCTACATGACATTCTGGATAGACTCTGAATTTTTTTTTCGGCTTGAAACTGTGTGCCCGTCTGCGTATCTGTTCCCTCACCGGGGAGGTCAGACGAGAAAATAGCATGGAAATATGAGAGGGTCGCCGAGAGACGAGGAGGGCGCAGAGAAAAAAAGCAGTAACCTGCTGAAGCCCGACGGGCGGTAGATGATCATGGGGCTGAACCTCGACGACCACGAGGTTCACCTTGAGCCTTCCAGTCCCGCGACATCCGGCCTTGGAGCACCTGACGGCGATATCGCGAGCTCCGACCAGCGGCTCTTCTTCTTTCGGCCTTCGGAGCCGATACTCGTAGGAAAACTCGTCGTAGACCAATAGACTGCCTTTTTGGGATCGCGGCATTTCTCTGAGAACTCTTGCTTTTTTACGATTATTGCTCATGTTGGATACCTACTGCAATAATTTTTTAACGCTTATTTTTAGTCTTCCCTTGAAAATGCGAAGATAGCTTCGGAGAAAAGCTATAGGGTCTCGAAGATCAAGTCCGTTCGAGCTCATTCTTGGAAGTCAGATAGAGCTTCCATAGTGATCGTATAATTTTTTTCGATAATTACATTAAGAATAATTAGCGATGTACTGCGACATCGCGAAAGTAATGCGACATCGCGAAAGTACTGCGGCGACGCGAAAGTACTGCGACATTGTGAAAGTACTGCGGCATCGCAAAAATACTGCGGCAACGCGAAAATACTGCGACATGGCGAAAGTATTGCGGCAACGCGAAAGTTCTGCGGCATCGCGAATATACTGCGGCATCGCGAAAATACTGCGGCAACGCGAAAGTACTGCGGCATCGCGAAAATACTGCGGCAACGCGAAAGTACTGCGACATTGCGAAAGAGCTCTCCCATTTTTCTCGGCACGAACTCGCATTCCGTAAGTTTTCCAATCAGTTTTAAGTCCGTAAGAGAAGCGGGAGAAACGCGATATCGCGCCAGGGAAAATGCGAGACCGAATCAACACTGTCGCAAGGTTTTCAGCATGCCGCCAGCGATATCGCTTTTCTCTCGCGTCTTATGAAGCTAAAAATCTCTTTTGAAATATTAGCCCAAGAACATTTTTTATGAGAAAGACCAACTGAATATTGAAGACGGGACTCCCGTTGATTGAAACGGGCGTCTTGGGACCGTTCATCAAGCTGTCGAGAAGCTTCGAAAAGTCGATTGGTGGGGGTTCTTCTTCGCTTTCCGTCATTTGGAATGGCTGGATGGAACTGCAAGAGTGAGGTCACTTCAATTTAAAAATTGAAACAGATAAATGAAAATCACCTCTAAAGTAAAAAAATATTTAACTACGAGCGAAAAATGCTGTCCGAAATGCTGTTGGAACAACTCTGTAGCTCAAAAAATCTTGAAAATCGTTTTTAAAACAGAAAAAACAAACCGGATTGACTTTTTTCGACTCCGATAACTAATCGAAAAATCTCTCAAGTTTTTCAAAATGCTTCAAGAACACATTTGAAGCTTGAAAAAAAACTGTAAAACCTGAAAATTAGTCTTAAATGAAACTTTTTATGACAGTATTTAAAAAAATTTTTAGAATCGAGAAAAAAACTTTCAAGCTGTTCGAAACGCTTTGAGAACACCTTTGAAAGCTCAAAAAAAGCTGTGTAGCTTTCTTATAAAATTTATAAAATCAACTCTTTATAGATAAAGCTTAACCGACGGCTCTTTTTTGTCGATTCGAGATGGAAACGGAAACGACAAGTAGAGGAAGAAGGAAGAAAAGCGGGTGTCTTTTTGGCGCCCTGTGGCTGTTTTCGCGTGGCTGTTTTTGCTTTCGATTGTGGCAAGGTCCCAGTTGTTTTTCCGTTTGCCGCGTGTCTTTTTTTTCATCGCTTTTGCAAGCCCGAGCACAAAACTGTTGCTTTACTAGATGCGATTGAGTGGAATTTAGTAGGCGAGAGGCGGAGGTTGGCCGGAAAAATGGAGGTTCTGATGGGAATAAAAAAGGAAGGGGTCAGGAAAAGTCACCTTATTTCAGAGAAGCATTTTTAGCCGCCATTTACAGACAAAAAAAAGCTCTATTCGCTCAATTTGGCACAAAAAGGTCGCACTTGGAATGGCTCTATGCGTCGCGGTCGCGCTGCGGCTCCGACATTGGCAACTTGATCTAATGCTTTTTTCGTCTTCCATCTGTAAGAAACATCCAGAGAAGCTCCAGCTACAACTTGAAACTCCAAGGTCGCATTTGGAATGGCTCTCCGCGTCGCGGTCGCGCTGCGGTTTTGATATGAATATTGGAAACTAGATCTAGTGCCTCTTTTTTCTCTTTTTATCCGTCAGCTGAGGCCAAAAAAACCTTTGTTCCCTCAATTAGGCACGAAAAATGTCGCATTTGGAATGGCTCAACGCGTCGCGGACGCGCCGTAGCTTCGGCATGAAAATTGACAAGGTGATGTCTTTTGATGCCTCTTTGCGCGAGTCGTTTCAGGTCGGGTGCATCTTCATGTTATCTAATTGACTATAAAAACGAAAAAATGTTGAGTGAATAAAAGTAAAAAAAGTGGAAAGTGAACAAAAAGGTTAATAAAAATATTTTTCCCAAACGGAATTATTTTTTTAAATTTCGAAACTTTCAAACGAAACCAAGAAAAAAGTTTTTTTTAATAAGAAAAATAGAATTCAAAAGCTTCCATACAGTTTTTTTGATGCTTTTTTTGCAAGTTTTTCTCTTAATTTCAAAGCTTTTTCATCAAAAATTTTCCTTCATTTCATTGAAATTCGAATCTTTCTTGAAAAATTGCTCTTCCGTAGCAAAAGGTTCAACTTGAAAGCTCAAAACACATTACGCATCACAAATTCAAAAAGTAGGCCTGGAAGTGAAAAAAATAGATATTTATAAAGTTCCGTAAGAAAAAAACACTTTTTTTGGAAAATTATCATTGGAGCGCACTTCTCCGTCAAATTTGCAGCCGGTTGGTCAAATATATTAATTTTTAGATCTATAACTTATAAGCTGAATTTTCGAAGCTTCGCAGAAATTTAAGATTTTAAGCTTTTTCGTCTTCAAATTATTCCTACATGTTTATTTCGTGTTTTTCATCAAAAATTCGTATTTAAAAACATAAGTAGAGAAAAATGTTACTTTTTAGAAAAAACTGAGAAACCTATAATTAAAGTTGTATATCAAAAAAACGCCACTTTTTTTCGCACTTTTTTTCAATGGATCGTTTCTGAAAAAAATCCGGAAGTCTATCTCATAATTCGATAATTTATAACTTTTTCTGTTCCGCGTAGGCGCTTTTTTTATTCAATCAAAATCCAATCGGCGGCTCGCCAAGTTTTCTTACTTGGTAATGAAGTTTTGCAAAACGTTCTACGTATTATAATTTGCACAAAAAGTAGGAATTTCGGCTCGGAATGGATAAAAGAAGAGAAGAGAGTGATTCTCGGTGCTTCAGCGCGTAAGCCGTTTCAGGTCGGGCGCAGATCAAAATTGAGTATTTCGGCATGAAATGGCTTGAAGAAAAAACAAAACTACAAAAAAAAAGTTGCATGTGTTTCTCGATGCCTCGGCGCGTAACCCGTTTCAGGTCGGGCGCAAATAGGAATCGAGATTTTTGACGTGGAATGGGTTAAAAAAACACAGAAACATGGAAAAAATAAGTTGAATGTGTATCCCGATGCCTCAGCGCGCAAACCGTTTCAGGTCGGGCGCGAAAAAAAATTAATTTTGTGAGCTCCGTCGAGTCGAAATATCTAGAGAAAAAGACATTTTTTTCGATGATTTTTTGCGATAAATGATAATCTTAAGATTTGTGAATAAAAAGCTTCAAAGATACGTTTCGAAAGTCCTAAAGCTAGAAAATTCCTGTTTTGGAGCCCATCAAAACTCCAATCAATTCTAGAGTTTATATCAAATCCCGTGAAACTTCTAAATCCAAAGAACCAATTTTATTTTTAGCCCTTATTTTATTCCATGTCTATAATTCAATAACCTTCCAATTTCCTCAATGGTTGGGATCATTAGATTAGCCTGCGATTTTTCGCAAGAACATTCTTGTTGGGGGCGGAGTTTCTCCACCACGATTCCGTAATAACCACTTGTCAAATGTCTGGTCCAATCATTGTTCTTCAATTTTTTTTTGAATTCTTTTTTTTTGACTCATAATCCTATGATCTCTCGATTATAGGGCACAAATTTCAAATCATCAAAATTCAAATTTTTTTATTATATTCAAGCCAGGAAGTTGTTTTTTTCTAAAATTACTTGAGAATCTTAAAATTTTCACCTTATTCTCGTGAAACTTCCTATGAGAAAGGTCTCAAGGCCAATTTAATCACTCAAATTGGCAAGACTGAAACGCCTATGCGCAAGTCGTTTCAAGTCGGGCGCAAGTTCATAATACGCCCAAATCCATTCCCAATGCGATCATGATGATCCAAAGCAACAAAAATCAAATATGGTCTTTTATTTTTGATAAATTTCATGTTCTTATTCAAAATTTTGATCAATAATTTTTTTTCATTTACTTTTTTTTCTCATTTTCACATTTCATACATCTTTAACTTTTTGTAAAATTCAATTTTTCTACATTTTTTTAAAATGCATTTGCTGCGGAAACCAGAAAAATCCAATTTTTTTATGAAAAAAATATTTCTTTTTTTATTCCGAAACTCCGCTGAAACACCTTCGACCAAAAAAAATTTTTTTGAGATCAAAAAAATATGAATTTTTTTATAAATTTCTGTAAAATCTCCTCAATTTATTATCCACCAAACTTCGAAATCGAAAAAAATCAAAAAAACACGCCACATTTTTTTCCGATTGCGCAAGGGGCGGGGCTTCGCTTTTTCATTACTTCTTTTTCATTTTTTTAAAGCTCATTTTTTTGGTATTTTAATTTTCAATTATTCAGAAAATGGAACTAAAATGGCAAGCTCTGGTGTTTCTAATAGAAGGAATCGTGTCGATTCCCATATATTTACGAATTTTGTACCTGGTTTATAGATTTCGGAAAAGTTCTGTCGTCTACAGGTCGCCTTATTATACCTTAGTTTTTTCACAGGTAAGAGAAAATTCCTTTTTCTCAAATTATGTAGAAAAAAAAAGAAAATGAACGCCGTAGTGATCCCTACAGGGTTTAGGGGGGAAAAAGCCCCTATAGGGAGCCAAAAAGTGCTCCCTGTAGGGGTTTATGGTCTGTGTTCCTTTCTGGCATGTCTCTTATGGGGCCTACTAACTGGAAACCCTAGAGTGACCCCTTCTTCAAGCTTAAGGAGCTTTTAGAAGGGAACAAAGTGTCCCCTATAGGGGTTTAGGGTCCGGTTTCGTTTCTAGAATGTCTCATATAAAGGCTACTAACTAAAACCCTAGAGTGGTCCCTTTGCAAGCTTAAGGAGCCCCTAGCGGAGTAAAAAAGTTTCCTTATAGGGATTCAGGGTCTGGCTTCTTTTCTGGCATGTGTCTTATAGGAGCTACTAACCGAAAACCCTAGAGTGGCCCCTTTTTCAAGCTCAAGGAGCCCCTAGAAGAGAAAAAAGTGCCCCCTATGGGGGTTTATGGTCTGGATTCTCTTCTAGCATGGCTTTTATAAAGGGCTACCAACTGGAAACCCTATAGTGACCCCTTTTGCAAGCTTTAGGAGCCCCTAGAAGGAAAAAGCGTCCCCTATAGGGATTCAGGGTCTGGCTTCTTTTCTGGCATGTTCTTTACAAAGGTAACTAACTGAAAGCCCTATAATGGCCCCTTTTCAAGCTCAAGGAGCCCCTAGAAGGAAAAAGTGCCCCCTACAGGGGTTTAGGGTCTAGCTTCTTTTCTGGCATGTCTCTTATAGGGTCTACCAACTGGAAACCCTATAGTGGCCCCTTTTGCAATTTTTTAGTGGTCCCTAGAAAGGAAGGCGAAGTGACGCCTAAACGGTAATCTTCAATCTTCAAGGGTCCATGTAGAGATCACTCTAGAGTTCCTAAGTCCTGCGGGAGAAACGGAAATGCCCACCCTCTTATCACTGTAGCCGTGTAAGTGGTCCCTCAAGGATCTTTTTTAGTGATTGCTTTGAAAAGATCAGAAAAAGGGCGTCTACTGCTCGTTTTCACGTGTTTTTTTAATTTCTTAATGAAGATAGGTGTTCATAAATCAGTGGAAAAGTGAGCATTGGTGCCAAAATGACGAAGAAAAGTGGAGAAATGTCCAAAGACCTACAATTATCCGTTTCAATATCACAAATTTCTGATGAAAATAATTTTTAAAAAAAACTGAAAAAGTAGTTTCTCAGAAGGAAATTAAGATCAAAAGTCCGCCCAATATTTCAAAACTCTCAAATTCCACTGTTACAAAATGGATTTAAATCCGTACTAGAAATTTATTTTTCGTGAGAAATTGCTTTTCTGAACTATTGTAAAGAACAGCTCAAAATTAATTTACCGGAAAGGTTATATTGCACCTGGACCGAGGCATGTGATGCCAAGTTCGAAGCTCAATTTCTAGTTTTTCCGGTTTCGGGAAAATTCAAAACTTGAGATAAAAAACGCGACCAATGTGTTCAAAGTCAAGGATAAAAAACTGAAGATATTTTCTTGATAAATTTTTAGTTCTGAGCCATTCCAAATGTGGCCATGGCGTTTGAAATCAGAACTAGATTTTTTGATAGGTTTTTTTTTAGTAATGAGCCATTGTAAATGCGGCCAGGGCGTTCAAAACCAAGGCTAAAAAACTGAAGATTTTTTCATGAACATCAAATTTTCCCTCCTGAGCCATTCCAAATGCGACCAGGGCGTTCAAAACCAAGGCTAAAAAATCTGAAGATCTTTTTTTTGATATATTTCTCAGTCCTGAGCCATTTCAAATGCGGCCATGGCGCTTAAAATCGGAGCTAGAAAACGGAATATTTTTTCGTGATAGGTTTTTTTTTAGTAATGAGCCATTCCAAATGCGGCCATGGCGTTTAAAATCAGAGCTAACACTTTTTGAGCTCTCTTTCAAAAACTGAAGATTTTTCCGTTCTGAGCCATTCCAAATGCGGCCATGGCGTTTAAAATCAGAGCTAACAATTTTTGGGCTCTCTTTCAAAAACTGAAGAACTTTCTGTGGTGATTCGGACCATGGCAAGCCATTCCAAATGCGGCCATGGTGTTCAGATTCAAGGATGAAAAAAATGAAGATCTTTTTGATATATTTCTCAATGCTAAGCCATTCCAAATGCGACCATGGCGTTCGAAATCAATGTTACAATCATTCTTTATACAGCCCGATTAGACAGAGATTTTAAAAACCTTCAAAAAAAGCTTATATCCAAGCTGAAATCCCGTATTCCAGGGCGTTTTCGACATCAGCAACTGGTTAGCCTACGTATTTCTGTGGGTTTCCCGGCAGGTCGACGTCTTCGGCCAATTCGTCTACGACAATCAGGATAATCATCTCGTCAAGTTTCTCGGCAATCACGCCGGTTTTTTCGTCGTCGGCCGAGCCTTGGGAGTCGCCATGATCTCCGTCCAACGGTATTATACCGTATGCCGGCCGAATTCCAAACAAGACCGGGTGAACTTTCGACTCATTTCAATCAATATCATTATCAACAAATTGAGAATATAAAAATTCCGCGAAACAGTAAAGATAGGTAAAATGGGCGGTCTTTTAACGTATTAAAATTCAATTTTTCAGAAAAAATGAAATTGTTCTTGGTTTTGTAATTAATTAGAGTTTTGAATCAGTAAGAATTTATCCTATACTCACCACTTCCTTAATGAAGATTCATTGTAGCGCAGATTCTGAAGCTTCTTTTTCGAATTTATAATCAACGGAGAAAATTTTTCTCATCTTATCGGTTCAAAAATAGAAAAAAAAACCTTAAAAACCCAAAAAATGGAGTGAAAATCGCGAGATGCGTGGTTCAGAGGATGAAAATTAAAAATAAAGCATTTTATTCAAGATTAATTTTGGAGAAATTGATCAAAATCTACTTTTTGTCGATTTTCTGAAATCATTTTATGAACGATATCCCGCTAGAATCTTTTCAGACGAAATTTGAAAAAAAAAATCGACCTTTCAAATTTTGTTGAATTCCAGTTTTTTGCCACTCGCGCTCCATGGCAACTGGCCGCGTTCCACTATTTGGTCCCTTTAGTGATCAGTTTGCCGATTTTGGCTGATCGGAGTTATCGTTTCGATTCTCCTGGAAGGCTGGCCGTCATCAAAACTAGTTTCAATAATACGGTGAGATTCATAGTCAGAAGGATTATTTCAGAATGCCACCCCTAATGCCACCCCCACATTTGATGGACCCCCTCCCCCGCACCGAAATTTTTTTCAAAGACTTTATCTCATAAATTCTTTTTTTCAGTTAACTGCCTTTGATATTGACGACATCTCTGATGATCGTCTTCATTTTTGTAGCCTACAGTTATACCTCAATTTTGTTATTTATTGTCAGAAACACGAGCAGGACTGCCAAGTGAGTTTTTTACAAAATAAATTGGAGAAAAGTCTATACTTTTTTTTTCTTTTTTCAACGCGAAACGGACGTCTCGAGTCATTTCTAGTGGCCCCTTTAGTAGCGTGGACTCTTAAGTGACCGTTAGAACTACTCACACGTCTGGAGCTTGTCCGATTCTTGTTACCGAGATCTGAGTCGTGACAGCTATTTTTTCTATATCTTTGGCGCTCTACTGATAATTACATCTTCTAGTGTCCACTTGAATAGCGTCCGCACTTTTAAGTGACCCCTAGAATTACTCAGGAACGTCTGGAGCTTTTCCGATTCTTGTTACCGAGATAGGAGTCTTGACAGCTATTATTCTATATCTTTTGCGCTCTATTGATTAATAAATCTCCTAGTGACCGCTTTAGTAGCGTCCGCACTTTTAAGTGATCCCTAGGATTGCTCAAAAACTTCCGGAGCACGTCCGGTTTCCGTTATGAAGATATCTATTTTTCTATGTATTTTTGCGCTCTATTGATAATTACATCCTTAAGAGATTTTTCATATGAAGCTCGAGCCAAAAGCGCTCTATTGATAATTAAATCTTCCTGTGACCACTTAAGTAGCGTCCGTACTCTTAAGTGATCCCTAAAATCGCTCAGAAACTTTCGGTTTCAGTTTTATAGGATATGATTCCTGACAGCTATTTTTTCTATATATTTTGCGCTCTATTGATAAATACATCTTCTATAGACCCCTTTAGCAGCGTCAGTGCTTTTAACTGATCCCTAGAATTTCTTAGAAACATCTAGAGCAGATCCGATTTTCGTTACCGAAATCGGAGCCTTGATAGCTATTTTTCTATATCTTTTGCGCTCTATTGATAAATACATTTCCTAGTGGCCACTTGAGTATCGTCAGCGCTCTTAAGTGACCCCTAGAACTACTCAGGAACGTCTGGAGCTTGTCCGTTTCTTGTTACCAAGATATGAGTCTTGACAGCTATTTTTCTATGTTTTTTGCGCTCTATTGATAATTACATCCCCAAGAGCGTTTTAACCGAATTTGAAAACAAAAAAGCAAGGAATATTTTTTCCCAATGTTCCTACCTCCTCATGAGCAAAGGCTTAACCAAAAACCCATATAATTTTCGGTTTTTTTTCAGCCCCCTGTCCAGACAGAACAACTTGCACACCCATCGCGAGCTGCGGATTTGTCTCCAAATAGCTCCTCTGATTATCGTTTTCGTCGCTGTTTATCTTTACTTCACGATGGAGTTCATTATGACTCAGCTTGGCGAGGTAGGCGAAAAAAATTGAATCAAAAAACCTTTCCGCAAGGTTTCTTGTTGAGAGGAAGTGTTGCCAGGTAGCCCGTGAAATTAAATTTAACCGATTTTTCGGGGTTGAATTTGGAGATGTGGTGAAATTTTCTGTTGTAAGTAGTCCTTTCACTCCGAAAAAAAAGTTGGGATGAAAAAAATCAGAAAAAAATTCGAAAAATTCTTTTCTTATTTTTTAACACAACTGGCCTAAAAAATCTTATTGGAAAAAAAAAATTTTTGTTGAAAAAATCGAAGAAAAACCAGCTTTTTCTGTACATTTTCGAATGGCCTTTTACTTGAAAATGAACTAGAGTGCGGTAAAGTTGCTGTAAGATGTTTTAAAACATCCAAATTTCAAATAATACGGAAAAGAACTGCTCATTTTGCATTTTAGTAGAGTTATGAAGCTTCAAGGACGCCAAAAAATTATTTTTTCTGCACGGAATTGGTGATTTTTCAACTTCGAAGCGTTGTAACTTCACTAAAAAGGGAAGAGATGCGAATTTGAGGGTTTTTTTGGAATAAGGATGTCTTTAGGTACTTTCCAGCTAAGTTTCATCCAATTTTATTGATTTTTAGTGCAGTTATAACGCCTGAAGTTATTATTTTTTTTTTAGCAAAAAACCAAAGTTTTTTGAAGTTTTAGGGACGTCATTATTTGAACAAAACGCAAAAGGCGCATTTTTTTGACATTTTTAATGTAAGAGTGTCCTTAAGTGTTTTTCAGCCAAGTTTCATTCAATTATATTGCTTTTTAGTGCAGTTACAACGCCTCAAAGATTTTTTCCTTGTTTCTGAGCTTTTCCTTTGGACCACCTACCTCAAAAATCCGGCGAGATCTGCAATTTCCCCCTCAAAATTCAACAATTCAGAAATCCAGACCAATTTCAAGGATCCTCTTTTTCAGGGCGACTTTTTATTATACATCCTCCGACCCTACTACCAACTCTTGTCGGCCACATTTTCCTTCGTCCATCCTTGGACTTTATTTCTCTTCAACACGGATATCCGTCAGAAATTCTTCCGGAAAGCTTCCAGCACACTTATGGTTGGTTCCGGGACCTTTTTCTACAATTTTCAATCAAATTCGCAGTTTTCCAGGCATCGAAAAGCTCCTCGAGCCGTTTGAGTACAATTAATCCGGGAGCTAGAATTACGAATGGATCTGGGATTTTCTACACGCGAGAATAGATGAATTTGAAAAAATATGGAATTTATACGGGAATAAATGTTTTTTTTTTGACTTTTCTTGACAATTGAAGGCAAATGGAAAACTTTTTTATGAAACGAATAATCAACCATTTTCTATTTCGAACGGCTCTATATTACTATCAATCTTTTTTGTTGACAAATTTTGGATATTTCGTTACTTTTTTCAGAAGCAGTGTGCTCTTGTGTATAAAATAATAACGAAAAACGGTCCAGAGGGTATTTGATGGAGTTTCGCGCCCTCTAACCTTCCTCGGAGTCATGGCTCAACTGGTTACACTTTTAAGCTACCATTCTGGGCACCCAAGTTCAATCCCTTTCACTGTTTTCTTTTTTGTTCATATTTAAAACTTCATTTTCTGCTTTTATTCTTTATCCACAGGATTCTCAGTTTCTCTCAAGACCCGATTTCGACGTTGGTATTAGAAATCCTCCGCACAGCGCTCTGAAATACTCAAAATTGAATGAGAATCAAAAATTTCTCATATTCACTATTTCAGGCGTCTTCACGCTTTTGAATATCCTCTTGCGAATATCCGAATTGCAGCAGAGGATAGTCCACGGATGGATAAAGGAAAAAGTCGCCGAGAAAACTTGATAATAGGGCCGCAAGTGCACCAAAATGATATTGTGCTAAAAATGTGTTTTTCGGAGAAAAAATTGTCCTGAAACCTCGCCGAAACGGTTCAAAATGCATTCGGAGACAAAATAGGCGGAAATAGCACCAAATGCCAGAATCAAGGGGATAATTTGGAGGCAGATTCGGATTTCTCGGCTTGCCAACCAGTCTTTTCTACTGTAAATACGAATTTTGGTGGTTGAACTTCATTCATTTTGCTCCAAACTCACTTTTAAAATCGAGAAAAAGCTTAAGAAAAATGTTTTTTGGAGAAAAAGGCTACTACAAACATTAAAAATAATTTTTTTATTATGAAAACTTCACCCTTATAGGAAAGTATAAAAGAGTTAAAAAGGTCAAAAAAGACAGCTAAAAATAAAAAAAGCGGTTTTTTTCAAGTGGATAAAGAAGTTCAGAAGATTCATCAAGTTTTGAAGAAGCTATAGAGGCCACTCAAACTTCAGAACCCTGAAGTGGCCCCTTATTTTTCGCCTCTTAAGAGGCCACTAGATTGACTACCATAGTGGCCACTAGAGCTTGAATTCTCTCTTCCCTTGAAAAAACCCTTAAGCTCGCGATTTTCTTCTGGAAGAGCCCTACAATAACTCTGAAAAATCGATAAACCAACTGATTTTTGTTCGAATTTTCAATAATGAAGACTAAAATACCGCCATAACTGATAAGGATCAATATAATACAAACAACGTCGCAAATTGAATGAATCAATGACGATTTCTGAAGTTTTTATCAAAATTATCACTGACAAAATTGGTCTTAAATTTTCTGAGATTTGATTTTAGTAATTTTTCTTGCCGAAAATGTAATTTTTTACCGAATTTCAATGGTTCCTTTGAAGAAACTCGAAAATAACAATAATCGACTAGCATGTTCCCTATAGGGGTTACTAACTGAAGCCCCTAGAGGGACCACGTTTACAGCTTTAGTGCCCCCTATAGGGGAAGAGGGGAACCTCCAAGAACCCCTACAGTTGCCCTTATAGGGAGCTTTTTAAAGTTTTTTCAAGGAAAATGACAAAAATCGAAAAATCAGTGAAAAGCTTTCAAAAGCAAAAATCCAATTTTAACCCTTATTTTGACTGTTTTATTTTTCGCATGATAAAACCAAGCTATGAATACCCTTGAAAAGGGGCTAAATTTTGAACTAAAAATTTCCAGGAACTATTTTTTCCTCTGAAAAAAACCTCCAATGCAGCCGAACTCTTCATAAAATTCAACATCTCCGGACTGTCAAAAGTCACTTCAAAGTCGCTAATAATAGGCAGAGAAATAATAATTGGCACGAAAAAGTGAAGAAAGGTCCATTGCCAAGGGGGCCGGTCGATGAAAATCTGAAAAAAAAGTATCATTTTTTGACAGGAATCAAAAAATCAAAGGAATACAGAAATCTGTTTGCAAGAGCAATTATTTCCATTTTTGGTCTTTTCCGTGAATTAATTGATAAATTGAGAGAATATCAACAGACATCTTGTGGCATTTTCTATTTTTAATGACGTTTGAATGTACAAATCAGTGAGTTAGGGACGTCAGAGTGGTCCTTATAGGGGCTATTTTTAGGATAATTGACGCTTCCTCTCTAGGGGTCCCTTTACCTAACCTTATGAGGAGCACTGAAGCTTGCAAAAGTGGCCACTCTAGTGGTCCTTTTACATCTTTATAAAACTCAAAACCTGGACAAAAAAATCAAAACACCCTTACAGGGAACACTCAAGCTTCCAGGTCTTAAGAATCGGACCCCAATCCTCTATAAGAACCACCTAAATTTTGCCCTGATAGGGGACACTTTTTTGTCCCTTGTAAACGCTGGTTTTCGCCCTAGCCCCTCTAGGGATCACTCTGGGGTTCCAAAGTATAAAAGCTGACATAACTACTTCCTCAATTTGGATCTCGACAATTTGTTTTCAAGAAGCTAGATTTAATTTCTGATCCCGTCTTCAAATTGGTTAATGAGAAGTGATAAATCAAAAGTTTATCGAAACCTTAATTAATGTTTAGAGAACAAATGAACAGAAATGAGTAATTTTCACTTTTGCAATTCATTTGAAACAGGTGAAAAGGTGTTTACGGAAGAAGAAAAACTCTCATTTTTGATCTTTCCGGGTTATTAGTTGATTGATAGTAATATGAAGCGATGATGATGCAATTCTTGTTGATTTTGAGCTTTTGTGAAGAGCAAAAGAGCAATCGTCATATTTTATTTGATAAAAATTGCATAAATGTGATATTTTTGAGCCATTACTTTTTTTCAAATAGTTATCTTCGGATATTCATGAAAAAAATAGAAACCTCAAAAAAATAACACGAAAATCGAAAAAAATGAAAAATGGACATTTTCATTTGAAAAAAACGGGACGATTTCCTGAAAAAAATCTTTACAAAAAAACTAGCAGCAAAAACCAACATGTAATTTCAAAAAAACGAATAAAATTCAAATAATTACTCGAAATCACCGAGAAAAACTTTGTAAACTATTGAAATTCCCAATTTTTTTCGATGCGCATTTTCCGCGAGTTCACTCACTGTGTGTGCGGTCGCAATCAATACCGTAACCCAGCAAAATTTAATTTCTATTGTTTTTTACCTATCTTTCTAATGTTTTCGAAATTCAACTAGTACTTCAAGATTGCAATGAAATTTTTTTCCAAAAATATTACATCTTTTTTTCAAAAAAATAATTAAAATAAAACAAACCGAGGCAGCCTTGGAACTCGGGTTGCAAATAACCAAATATCTTTTGGATAGATATCAAAGCGACGCCGACGGCCCGAGAAATCAATAAAAAAGTGGCCTGACTATTGATCATCCAGGCGACTTTGTAATGATCCACGGCAAATAGGACCTCTCCGATGGGTCGAATTTGACGGCCGACTATCAATATTGCAAAGAGAAACCAGCTCAGGATGTCCATCACTCCCTGAAAATCTTGAGTCGGTTTATTTTTTTATGGACCCGGGTTCCTTTTTACTCCAAAAAAAATAATGAAGAAATGAATTTTTTTATATGAAACATAGTTTGTTCCACCCACGCAAGACAGTACCGTTTTGAAAGCGGAAAAAATAAAATTTTTGAATTTCGCGCTCAACCGCGTCGCTACCGCTTCGAATGAGAGACAGCAATGTTTTGGACCAAAAAAAAAAAACTAGGATTTTTTTTTACCTGCGACAAGATCAAAGTGTAGTACGGTGACTTGTAGGTGATGAATTTCTTGCGAAATTGCCATAAAAGGAACAAAATACGGAGATAAAGTGGAATTGAGACGATTCCTTCGACGAAATAGCAAGTGGACTGCCAGGACATTGGACTAAAAACTTGGGAAAAACTGTAACTTAAAAATAATTGAAGATATCTTATAAGGTAGCTCGTTCCACTTTGGGGTTGGGAATTTCCTAAAAAGAAGTTGAAAAAAATCTCCAAAAATCTGAGTATTTTATCACTTTTTTTTCAATGAAAAGAAGTTCACAAGTTCCAATATTGATATTTCAAGTTTTATCCCAAAAAAAACCACGGAAAGTTAAATAGTTCGACTGCACTTTTCTTGCATTTATCGTGCGTCAAAAGGAAAAAAAAATACGGGAATTCGAAAATAAAAATAGAAAGATAAAATGATAAGTCCGACTTTCGAAGCTCATGTTACTTGGAAACGTAAAAGAGAAATGAGAGAACTTTGAGATCTGCAATTAATTAATCCAAATCAACTTGTTTGCGAACAAAATGCAACGTTTTTTCTCCTTTTTGAAACTGAAAAGTTTGAAGATTTCGGGTTACGTTTCAGGGAAAATTTGATAATTGAGGGTCTTGAGAAAGAGATTTTACTGGGAACGGATTTTGATAGGTCGAACTAGACTTTCTTTTTGAAGTCTGGCTCAAATTTCGAACTTTTCCAAGGTTAAAATTCTTTTTCGTGTTATAGATCAACTTTTGTGATTTTTCAATAGAGAGTATGAAAAAAATAAATTAATTTTTTTACTTTTTTTCAAAAAAATAAGGCATATCCATAAATAAAACTGTCAAGGAAATAATAATCAGCAGTAAAAAGGAATGTTCGCTCCAACGCAAAACTTTCGAAATTTGAGATTTTTCAATTTTTTTCACTTTTTTTATTTTTAATACTTTTTTTAAGATGTTTTTGTATTTCCCAATTTTATTTTTCCTTATTCATTCTTCATTATTTTTTTATAGCAAAGCAGAAAGGACACACCAATTTGCTCAAAAGTTTTTTTGTATTTCGGAAAAAGGAAAATCGTAAAATAACTTTTTATATTCGAAAAAAATATATATACTTATATAAGAAGGAAAACCGACTCCTTATCAATCGTTGAAAAAAACTTCTTTTTCGCGGATTTTTTTCGGAAATAACTTACAATAAAAAAACGAATGATTTTCCTCTTGACATTTGAGGGTTCCAGGACATTTTTGAGACATTTTTTTTTACAAATTTCTAATGGTAAGAAAAGAGTTTTCTCTTTAAAAAACAGCACAACACTGACTACTAACTTTCAATAAAATTATCTCTTGTTTCTCTTCATTTTGCAAATTCCAACAATCAAAAACCGAAAAAAACTGGCATATTTTGAATGAGTAACCTCGAAATTCAATATATATTGTGAGAGACGAATTTCCATGATTCACAATAATGAAAAAGGTTCTGATCGTCCTGATTTTCCTGATAATTTCCTCGATTTCTACCAAATTCACTGTCGACGTCTCATTTGAATGCCATTTATTCGCTAAATTCCAAGTCGACGCCTACCTGATGGAAAAAGACTCCGGCGACAGTTAAGGCCGTGTTTTTTTGTGTTAAATTGGTGCTTTTCTTCAGATTTTTGGCTCCGTTTCATTGATGACGACGACGAGTTGGATTATGCTTCGAAAATGAAGAGACGGTATAGTCGATGTGCCACAAGTTGAAATTTCATGGAACGACACTCCGCTTGTTTCGATTTGTGCGGTAGCGCGCATCGTGCGAATTTGCCAACCTCGGCCACGCTCATTTTTTTTTGGTTTTAATCTTCATTTTATAAGCCACTCACTTTCTGAAAAAATCCATTAACAAATGCGACAAACAGAAAAAAAACGATGAAAACATTAAAACATGGCTTTAACAAAACAACACTTTTTTATCGCTCTTTGCGAGGATGATCATGAAATTTACTGTGTTCTTCCGTTTACATTTGTACGACGCAATCCTTTTCAACGATTATAATACATTTTAAAGAAATAAAACAATTAGAAAACGATCAAAAATTAGGTGGTATGAAAAACACCAGCGAAAATTCAAACGGCGACTTTTCCGATTTTTTCATATCGCTAGGGAACTTTCCGACGGCCACCTTCCGACGAATCTTTTTTTCCGACTTTTTTTCTCGATAAAATCTTAGTTTTGAATCTTTCTATATAAAGTAGGTAGTTGGTTCATGATTAAAACACAAAGACATAGGAAAAAAAAAAGTAAATAGATGTCTTATGAACCGAAAAATATAAAGGAAAAAAGTCGGAAAAAATTTCGTCGGAAAGGTGGCCGTCGGAAAGTTCCCTAGCGATATGAAAAAATCGGAAAAGTCGCCGTTTGAATTTTCGCTGGTGTTCTTTTCATACCACCCAAAATTAGAATTGAAACCAAAAAAATTAGCGTGGCCCAGGTTGGCAAATTCGCACGATGCGCGCTACCGCACAAATCGAAACAGCGGAGTGTCGTTCCATGAAATTTCAACTTGTGGCACATCGACTATATGAAATCCTTGCGATTTGAGGAAATTTTGACTGATTTGATGAGCCAAAAAAAAGGCGAAATCTTCAAGGATTTTTTTCAAAAGGGCTCCTGCTCCTTTTCGTAGCTTTTACATTTATATGGCTCTTTTTTTTGACACTTGATTTTTTCAAACTGATTGGCCAATATCAATTTCTAATTTCCAAATTATTTTTACAAAATTTCAACCTTCTTTCTCTTTTCAATAGAACGGACTTCACCTCCTACGACGTCTATTTTTAAGACTCTATTTTCAACTTCTCGGAATCAATTGAACACGCCATGTGTTGAAATAGTTGCGGAATCAAAAAAATAATAAACAAAAAAATGTTTTTTTGTTAAAATTTTTCCCAATAAATTTTTCTCCAACTTTAAGTCACGCTTCCGTTGAACTAGAAGGAGAAGAATCTGAATTCGGCTTCACCGAACCTTACATTTTCTATCGACACAATTGTACAAAGGTCGGTGGAATCTATTATTTAAAAAAATAAATTATAATTACTCGATCAGGATGGATCTGTGACGGAAAAATCGCTGTTTCCTGGAAAAAGCCTATAATAACGAGGAAGAAGCCGAGTATGAAGTTGAAATTCTGTTATGAATGAAGTTTTTTTGAATTTTTTTGGAGTTTACAAAAAAATGTTCTTGACCCACAAAACACGCTTTGAAAAAGACAAAAAGGAACAAATGAACATAAAAAAATTTATTTTTTTCTACAAAAAAATAGGTTGAGTGAAACAGAGAAGACCAATTTTGCTCCATTTCTTGATTTTTTTCGGTTTTTTTCTGAAGGGGTTTTTTTAATTTTTTTAAAGTCTTTTTCAAAAGACCAACTTTACTCAATGATAAATCATTTAAGCTCCCACTTCCAGAAATCGAATTTTTTTCGAGAAAATTCAGATTTCTACATCCCTTTCTGACATAAAACCGGTAAAACTTAAGGGATTTTTCTTTTTTTATTAAAAATTAAATTATGTTCTTTTCATTAAAAAAACTTCCCTTAAGTGGCCACTTCAAGGTTTATTAAAGTTCAGCGTTATTTTTAATTTTCGAGCAATTTTTTAAAATTCGCATTAATTCTTGCATTCATTTCTTCTGTACATATTTTTTCCCGATTCAAAAATCCAGCCTTCTGAATCAAATTCACCACGAAAAGTATTTTATTCTTTCCGAGAAAAATCAAAAAAACAAAAACAAAAGCCGTCGACTCACTGGGAACGGTTTTATTTGACGTTGCTCACCGTTGGTTGTAAAAACATGGAGAAAAGTTGTATAAAAAGCGAATTTTGAGCTTGTTTTGTTCTCGAAATGCGGTGGCTTCTCGTCAGCTTCATCCTGTTCGTCGCCGTCCTGACGACGGACGTGAAGGTCATTCTGAATGTCATGTGTCCCATTGCCACCCCAAAATTCCCCAGAACCGCCAATTTCACTCTGATGGAACGGGATGGCGGCGTTAATGGTTGGTTTTTAAGATTAAAAAAATGATTAAAAAAATGAAACTTTTTTTCGTAAAAAAACTCTGACTCGATTTTACACCCCTTAGGAGGTTATTTTAATTTAAAAGACAATTTTTTTTTGATTTCTGTTGGTAACGCTAACCGGACGTGCTCCGGACGTTCCTGGGCAATTCTAGGGATCACTTAAGAGTTCTGAGGCTACTAAAGTGGTCACTAAAAACGCCCCGAAATGTTCGATTCGCGTCCCGTTCACCTTACCAAGGTCCAAGAAAGTTTACCTCCGCATTAAGTTCTTAGGAATCCCAGAGTGGTCCCTAGAGGGTTAAAATAAAAAACAGCCCAAAGCGGGGCCGAAAAAGTGGTCCCTATAGGGGGGAATCAAGGTGGTTTCTACAGGGGTTCAATATCTGTACCCTCAGCTCCTAAATTTAAATGGTCCCTATAGGGGGGAAATCAAGGTGGTTTCTACAGGGGTTCAATATCTGTACCCTCAGCTCCTAAAGCTTAAGTGGTCCCTATAGGGGTAAGGAGAAAAAACAGCCCATAAAGAGCCGAAAAAATGGTCTTTATAGGTAGAGAGCGCAGAGCCACGCCCCTTTTTGCGATGGTGAAATGCACTGGTTTTTTAGATTTTGTGTTTGATGTTTTCGTAAAAGCACAATACTGAACCAAACACAGAGAAAATTGGGAGAAACATATAGAAAACCTTCCTCTTTAATCTGATATATTTTTCACCCGATTTTCGAAGCGTTTTAGCGGAGTGTCGTACGAAAAACCAAAACTACTTTTTTTCTTCGGGTTTTTAACCTAGTTCCATGTCGTTGGCGCCTTTTTTTATTTTCGAATTCAATTTTTAAGTGAAAAACACATTTTTTAAGAAAAAAAAATTAAAATTTTTACGGTGCCCAATCTTCGTGAGGCCGCGCAAAGTTGAAAAATGTTGTACTCGGTTTCGAGTGCGTGTAAGTAAAAAAATTGTTATTTTTAACTTGTGCATTAAATTGTAACTAAAACTTTATTAGTATAAAACTTGATCCGAAAACTTTGTTTTCTGAGAAAAAAAAGACAGTGAAAATTTCGAAATTCATTTTAGCATGGTCAGATGTCGTTGGCGCCTTTTTTTATTTCTTAAATATTAGCGTATCTCAATTTTTTCAATCAATTAAAAAAATAAAATAAAAAAATTTTAGCGGTGTCTAAAAAGTTTAATTATTGTTAATTTGGAGCCAACGTTAAAAAAATAACAAAAAAACGCCGAAAAAAAGGAGGTATTTCGAACTGAATCTTTATGAATAAATTGTTTTTAGGTGATCCGAACACACGTGACTAATAATTCTTCAACTATCATAACTTTTTTTTAAACAAGATAGTCGGTAAATGCTGTACTTTGAGGTGAAGTGGTGTATGGCGCGAACGCCTCTCATCTCCGAGAGATGTGTGTGGAGCAGCGCAAGTGCGCCTGCATACAGTTTTGATATCGCGAGTTCAATCCTCGCAGCGGCCATTTTTTCAATTTTTGATGAAAAAATAGCTTTTCTCTTCGAACTTGTGGTTTTATACTGTTTTAATAACTTATTATGACTTTGAAAATCGAACTGAACTACTAAAAAATTTAAATCCGATATGAAAACAAAATGAACGACCAAAAGTGTAAAATCTAAACTTTCAGTACTAAATTTCGCGACATTTTTCACTTCTTTTTTGATCATAACTTTTTTTGTTTTCAACCTTTTTTTTAAAAACTGAACTGTTTTGAATAGTAAATTGGAGCAGCTATCCAACCATAGTGATATTGAAGCTCGAACATTTTTTTGAAAATTTGGTTGCGGTCCCTATTTATAGGGATAAAATCAAGGTGGTCCCTATTATAGTTTCGAAAATTGACCGTTCGACCGACCGTTCGACCAATATTTTTTCAACATGTCATAATAAATGGTCATTGGTCGAACGGTTGGAGTTTCAACATTTCAACATGTCACTTCAGAATGACATGTTGGTTTTTGACCGTTCGAAATGTCACTCTGAAATTGGTCGGTCATTTTTCGAACGTTCGAAATGTCACTCTGAAAATGGTCGGTCATTTTTCGAACGTTCGAAATGTCACTTCAAAAATGGTCGGTCGGTTTCGTAAATTTCAGAAATTGGTCGGTCAAACGAACGGTCAGAAAAATGACATATTATAACCGTTCGAAAAACTGAACGGTCATATCAGTTGAACGGTCTAATTGGTCGAACGGTCGAATTTTAGAACACTAGTCCCTATAGGGTTTTGAAGTCTTTCCCCTTAGCCCCTAAAGTGGTCCCTATAGGTAGGGACCGCAAAGCCACGCCCCTTTTCGCGATAGAAAAAGTGGCTTTTTGGTTTTCAACTTTCATTTTGTTGTAGTTGCAAAATATGTGGAACTGGCTAATAAAATTTGACACACATGTACAGAAAAAGCTTCCTCTTTCATTTAAAAAAATATTTCACGCTTTTTTTGATGCGTTCTCGCGGAATGTCGTACAAAAAAACGTGAATGGAACTAAAAATTTTTGTCTTTTTTTGCTTTTTTATGTGTTTTCAGGTCGAACGCACTCTTTCTTTTTTTATATAATGAATTTGATTGAAGTAACGGTAATTCTAAAACAATAAAATAAAAAATTCGTCTTTGCCAAACATTTTAGGGAGTGCCGAAAGTCATAATTCAAAATATCGTTAATAAGCGAATATAATCGAGTTTTTGTTTTTTCAAAATTTAGACCATGGGCTTACTTAAATTTTTCTCCACAGCATCTGCGCTTGAAAAAGTTGTTTAATACACAAAAATGCTCTTGAAAATAGAGAATAAAATTAGCGGCGTTTATCACACAAAAAGCGGTCGAACGCAGGTTTTTTAAACGATTATATACATTTATTAGTGAAAAAAACCTTTCAATTAAAAAAATAAAATAAAAAAATTCGTCTTTGCCAAAAAAATTTACGGGGCCGTTTTTATTGCTGCGATCGTTAAACGAGGCAAAAGGCACTAAAAAAACAGTTTTTCCGAAGTAAATTTCTACGAAAAGTTTGAGTAGAGATTTCCGAACATATTCTGATAAAAATAGCTTAATTACTTCAAGTTTTTCTTTTTGAAATAGGCAATCTGTGCTATTCAAACGGCTCAAGGGTATGGCGGATGGAGGCTCCCCTCGGTAGACCCTGACAGCTTGGCGCAGCGCGTGCGCTGCGAACTTTCATTTTGAGGCCGCGAGTTCGATGCCCGCAAGCGTCAGTTTTTTTGTTTTTCTGGAAAAATACCGACTTTTTTTCGGCAAACTAGCTGATGAGCATCATTTTAGCACTCTATTATGATTTTGTTACATCATAATAGACCAGTATCAAAAACTTTGTTCTAGAAGAAAAAAATCGAGAAAAAAATGTCAAAAAAATGGATAATACCAAAAATTTCAGTACTAAAAAAATGGTGCGCGGCGCGCCACATTTTTCCGTCATAACTTTTTTCATCCTCAATCTTTTTTGAAAAACTAAACGGTTCTGAGTTTTGAATCGAAACAGCTATCAAACCATACAAAACTCAATGCTGAAAAAATTTTTTTGAAAATTCGTCTGCGGTCCCTACCTATAGGAGTATGATTTGAATGGTTCCAATAGGAGATTAGGGTCTGACTTCTATGCCCCTCAAGATCAAGTGATCCCTACAGGGGTTTAAGATCTGAACCCTTAGCCCCTATAGCTTAAGTGGTCCCTATAGGGGTTCATTCAATTTTTCGCATGGAAATGCTTCTTCTCATAGAGTATACCCCATATAGAGACCCTTAACTAAAATCCCTTTAGGAACCACTTTTGCAAGCATTAGTGGCCCCTATAGGGGTTGGTGAAGTGGTCTCTAGAGGGGACCCTTTTAAGTTCCCTAAGGTTGCCTCTATAGGGACCACTCTGCAGTTCCCAAGTTATTTTCATAATTTGACGGGTTTTTCTACTTTTAACATTTTTCGAATCCATTTTTTTAAGTTGAAAAAAATAAACGATAAAAAAATAACAGCAAATAAAAAAAATTTTTTTAAACCAAAATCAGCATGTTCTCCCGTTTTATTAGACAACAGAAACACAAAAAAATTTAAAAAAATGCGCTTTTTATATCCAAAACTTGATATTTTCGCAGGATTCTGGGCCTTCCTCGACTCGGACGACAAAGTTGATGAGAAAACGGTCAAGATCAAGAATGGTACAGGAGTCGAAACAATTTTCCAAGGCTCCGAATTCGAATTTACCGATTTGGAACTCTACTTCCTGGTCACACACAACTGCACAAAGGTTTTGAGAAGAAATTATTGATATCAGATGGATTTTCGCAGAACAAGCAAGTGAACACCTACGAATTCCCAGTGCTCATGAACAATCAAACCGGAGGCTTGATGAACGTCACCATGTTCCATATGCTTAAATGATTTTTCATTTTTTTGCTTTTTCAGTATGTTTTTTTGCAATGAAGAATTAATATTATTCGAATAAAAAAATCGGAAGTTCGTCTCAAGGGGAAATGCGCTCCATGGAAACTTCGCAAAGACTCGACCTTCTTACACGGGAGCGTCAGACCGGGCGGCCCGAGCTTTGTGCCCCAATTTTTTTAAAAAAAGCCTGCGCTGGCTCGGGCCGGGCTTTGAAAAAAATCTTGAATTTCCTTTTAAAAAAATTTCACCGAAAAATTATTTTTACTTGTTGAATCATAGTTTCTAATACCTCTATGAAGAAAAATAAGTAAAAAATCCCACTTTCTCGTTAAAAAAGCGAAGGAAAAAAACCTTTAAAAAGTCATCACCAGAGCCTTTTTCAGGTCATTTCGAGGGGATAGAAGTTTTAAATAAGAAAAAAACCAAAAAAAGTTTTTACTCCTTTATCGAGCCTTCCGTGGGATTTTAGAGGCTCAAGAGATAGTGGAAAAGGAAAAGGCAGCAAAAATGGTTCAAAAAAATGGTTCAAACAGCCGTTTCCACAGATCAGCTGTTAGATTATTTGATTGTCTTGATGTTTTATTTTTTTTTATTTGTCGTGCTGATTGCGGAATGGTGAATAAACACTTGAAATGAAATGAAATGAAGGGCGAAAATTCAGTATTTTTCTACAGTAAGCCCGAAAGTGGGCGGAGATTCCAGATCGGTTTCTGAAAAACTGTGATCGACCCAAAATCAAAAGGAAATAGAGTGAGTTGAGGCCCCAATGACTATCAAAAGTATTCACATTACTTTGAACTTTTGCATTTGACCCCCAGACAATTAGTCGGAATTTCAACGCCGCCAAGCAGTCCGTCAATTAATCGTTCTCAATTTGCGGCGCCACTCGACTGGTTTTTTTTTTCGTTTTTGGTCCCGCTGTTCAACTTTTTGCTGATTTTTCAAGGTTTCTGTAAGATTTTGTGACTTTTCGAATGGTATTGATACTTTGAAACAGCTTCGAAGACTATGAAAAAAGAAGAAGCCGCAGAAAAAGAATAAGTTGCTGTTGTATTTTTGTTCCAAGGAGAATCTCAATTTTTTGCTTTCTTTTAAAAGCTTTTTTCAAAAATTGCCTGATCCAATTTTTAAAAGATTTTCGAAGACACAAAAGTCTTCAGTGTATGAAAAAAACTGCGAAAAAAACCGGGAATCGAGCAGCAATAAAGAAATATTCAAAATTGAAGGTTCTCTTCAAGCTTTTTTCTATATTTCATTAGCAGCAAATAAATTCCTAATGTGAATTTGAAGTTTTTAACCCAGAAAATTGGTAGAAAAACCATTTCCGACTATTTTTGGCACACTATAGTTCCCGCCTGTGCATACACTCTCCATTTGCGGCCAATACATTTCCTTGACGCCTATTTCTAGTTTTTTTTCTTTCTTTTTCTTTCTTTTTCAACTTGTACTTGTTTTCTTAAAAATACTTACGCTTCTATTCTTTTTTCAATACGTTGTTTTTATTTTTTTTTTTCTATTTCAATATTTTAATCTCTTATCTTGGTTTCTGCCTTTACCTCTTTTCCACTTTAAAAACTATTTTTTTCAAAAAGTCACTGTCTTTCTATATTACTTACGGCTAAAGCTTTCTCTCATTGATTTTCAAGTTTCAGTGTTGATTCTCACGTTTCCAAGTACGATTGCACTTTAAAGAAGTGCTCTCGCGGAGCCACGTTTACCGGTCAGTTGTCAGTTGCCCCGAGGCGCTCAAACCGACCAGTGTAATGTAGATTTTGCACTTCGAACCTCAATCCGTTTCGTTTGTACCACATTCCAAGCTTTTACTTTAAATTAGGCTACCTTTTGTCAGCGTTTTCTTTTTTTTTAATTGAAAAAAAAAATCAACAAAAAAACGGCATGTAGTGTACCTAACCTCATTAAGAACGTTACTTGAATTTGTGTTTGACATATTTTCTGAACTTTTATTGGGCAATCTAAACACTCGACAATGGTTTGAAGTCCGTTTTGGTGGCACTTGACCATAATTGTGACATTGTTTGAAGGCTTTCCACGGAATTGCGTGGCTAATTTCGATGCCAAACGCATTTTGGCCGGATTGGTGGGCTTTCCGAATTTTGGGCTTGTCTTGAAACATCCGAATATATAAGCTTTCAGGCTTGAAATTTTTTCTGGAGTGATAATTTGAAATTTGAAGAATTAGCTTGTTGTTTAGTCTTTTTTTATCTATTTTATCACTTTTAATCGAATTTCGAGGACATTTTTTAAGATTTTAGGGTTTTTCGTGTCTTCCTGTAGCTAATTTGAGGTTTGAAAATGTCCAAAAAGGTCCTTTAATCATTTAAAAAAATCTCTCTTTGAAAGTTATATTTTGATTACTTACGGAATAGTCTTGTTTTTTTCAGAAAGTATAATGATTTTGAGGCTCTGATGCTTTTTACGCAATTTTGGGTTTTTTAAATACCTTTTTGAAGCTTGGTAACACTTGAAACGTTACTTTGTACTTTCAAAATGAAAATCTGAAAAGGAAATTGAAAAATGTTTTCTTTTCTTCGAAAAATGACTGGAATTGTCAATATTCTAACAAAAAAAAAAAATTCCCTAGTTCCCAACAACTGCATAGTATTGCTCATGCTAGCGACACCTGCTGGTTGGCTGTTTGCCAAACCGAAAGGTGACGACCAGCTGCGACATAATGTTTTTATTGCCACATTTCCACCGGCGGCGCCGATTTGCTCAAAAATTAAGAATCCGTCTGGCCTCTCCTCATATCTCATGCTATTTCTCCGGTGAAGTGCACGCCCAATGAGATTTTCTTCCGGTGGGTTGAAGAAACAAATCTGGCCACGACAGATGGGAAAAAATTAGGTTTTCCTGTCCGGAAAAGAGGATTTTGGGGTAATTTGCTTACCTTCAAGAGTTTTTTGTTGGTCTGTTGGATAGAGCTGGAGCATTTTTCGTTGTTCTGAAAGATTTGAAAGGTTTTCGAACCGTTTAGGAATGTTTTCATGCTACCAGGGACTCCTAAGATGCTTAAAGAAGTTTGAAAAAATTGAAAAGCCCATGTTAGGCGTTTCCAAGCTTCTTTAAGCTTTCAGAACAACTGATAACTCGTTGCAAAGCATCAGAAAATTCACTTTTCGCTTTGAAATCTGCTGAATCTATTTTTAAAAAAATACTTCCAAATTTCAAAAAGTCTTTAAAAAAATTCATGACGTGTTCTCAAATGCATAGGGAAGTTGTTTGAACTCCTGAAGTTTGATAAAGAGTTTTAAAAGGACCTTCTAGAAGTTTTGAAAAATTCTAAAAGACCTTTTAAAACCTTTCCTAGCTTCAAAGAGCCTTCAGAAGAGCCAATATTTATGAAATCGTTAAAAATCGCATGAAAATGGCCTCGAGATCTAATCTTCACATAATACATCAAAATTTTGAAAAACTGAAAACCCCATTTTCAAACTTTTTGTAAAAGTTGGTGCATTATGAACTCTTGAAATCGGAAAAGAAGTTCTCACAGGATCTCTGAGAATTTTCTGGAAATTCTAGAAAACCTTCTGTAAGTTCCAGGTTTTCTCAAACTCTTTGAAACCTAACCATTCATGGACTGCCCTTGAAAAAAAAAGACCCTGAGAATTTTTCAAGGCAGTCAGAAAAAAACCTTGTAGGAGCAATTTTAAGGACCCTTGAAGATTCCTCTCCAGGGAAAACTTTGCCTCTGAGGTGCCCCTATAGGGGTCACTAAAGTTTGCAAAAGTGGCCCCTGTAGGGACATATCTTTCTGAACTTTGAGAAGAAGCATATGCAAGCTAAAACTCGATGAATTCGCGTTTTTTGAATGAAAATTATAGAGAAAGGATGAATTTTTCAAGTTTTTCGTTTAATTTTCAAATCTGGAAAAAATTGAAATCCCCCTGTAGGGATCAGTTAAGCTTAGGGGTCACACCCAAAAACCCTATAGGAACCACTAAAACTTTACTCCTAAAGGAGGCACTTTTTGTCCCCTCTCGACGCTTTTTTGTTTGTTTTTCCCCTATAGGAACCACTTATTCCTCAAGATTGGAGGTCAGACCCAAAAACCATATAGAGATCACTGTACTTTACCCCTAAAGGAGGCATTTTTGGCCCCTCTCGACGCTTTTTTGTTCTTTTTCACCCCTATAGGGACTACTCTAACGTTCCTAAGAACCCACAAGACCTTCCGAGGCATCTGCAAGCTTCAAAAGCCTCCAGAAAGACCAATAATTCGCCGGGAATCGGATGAGAATGGCCTCGGAGCCTTCACATCCGCATCACGCAACATTCCATTCTTCCCATTCATAACGTTATGTATGCGTCAAGCCGTTCTGACCCTTTTCGGTTCCATATATGAGCATGTATAGAACATTTTTAATGCCCCCTCGACCCTCCTCCAGTGGTTCCACTCTCTCTCTTTGGGCTCTCAACACAAACGCGCTCTAACCAACACGCTGACCATCGCCGCTGAACCTTGTCTCTTGTTGACCCCCCGGTCTGAGGCTCGAGAGTCCCACCAACTGCAATTAGCATGTCTATTGATTCTCAAGAAGAGGATTCTCAATGTCCACCTTCTCACCGACTTTTACTTCTCCGTCTTTCAGTGAACTGGGAAAGTGGCCACTATAGAGGCTCGCCAAGGACTTCTTGGAAAGGACACTAAAGTGGCCACTAAACCCACCTCTATAGTGGCCACTATTTTCCGTTTTAGTGGCCACTTCAGTAGTTTTTCATCCAGTATTCCTTCCAGTAACTCTCATAATTTTAAAACAAACAGATTGGACCAGTTATTTTGATCCAGTGACTCCTAAAGTGGCCACTAAAATTTTTTGTGCTCTAGTAGTAGAACTTAGACCTCTATAGTGGCAACTAATTTTAACCTCTTAAGTGACCACTAATTTGACTACTATAGTAGCCACTAAAACGTCAAAACCCTCTAGTGGCCACTAAAAACTTTCCCAGTATAGATTCTTTTCTCTTTCTTCTTCTTT